GGCGCAGCACCCTTTGGTGCCTAGTGCGCTGTGGCATTAGAAAAATTATGCAATTGCTGTTTCTTTGTTTGATTAGACTGACTTTACTCTATAATTCCTCCAATGCCGCTCTATGGATGCAGTTGGATGCACTTGGATTTATAAATTCGTTATATTCAATAAATTCGTAAGTTCGTTTCGCTATATTCGGTAAGTTCGATTTGGTGGAACTACAAGTAAAACACATACAACAGTTTTAACATACAGATCTACCTGCACTGCCAAACAATAGAGGAACACACAAGTGCATTAAATACCTATTTGGCCTTCTCTGCTTCCATAAAGCTTTTCTGACTGGAACTTTGTCTGTTTGCTCCTCTGTCTGGTGAGCATGTGTCTCTAGAAAATCCTAGCAGGGAGTTTTACACAGGCATAAATGTGAAACTGGCTGGGATTGGTTAAGGCTCTGTACAGTGTGAGGCTGTCTGTGACTGGCTCACCTTTAACTAACTCTTAAAGGCATATTTTCCTTTTCTGCTTCTGCTAACACAATGAATATATAAATGTCATATAACAATCAAAGACATAAATTACAGCAATGATTCTGCTTTTGGCTTTAACATATGCACATATATACTATACTGAGGTTATTGGCAGGTTTGGTATACACATATATGTGAAACATATTAACAACCTAGGACTGGTCTTAGCTGGCCAGCTACAAAGCCTTCTCGTCCGACATCAGTGCCTGACCTCACAAATGTGCTTCTGGAAGAATGGGCAAACATTCCCATAGACACTCCTAAACTTTGTGGACAGCTTTCTGAGAAGAGTTGAAGCTGTTATTGACAACTCAATATTGAACCCTACGGACTAAGACTGGGATGCCATTAAAGTTCACGTGTGTGTAAAGGCAGCCCGACCAATACTTTTGGCATTATAGTGTATTTCGCCTTAGTGTAAGTCGCCTATAGACCTTCCTACACTATAATTAATTAGATGAGTGTGGAATGCAGTAAACAAACATATATTGGGAATTAATATTCTTACTGAATATACTCTGTTATGATTTCAAGTATCTTTCAGAAATGACCAATATTTTTTTTTATCACAATGGCAAAAGGCTGGCATTGCAACAGTAGTACAGGTATATTCACAAGATGCCCTTTAATCTTTCTAGAAATTGAGTGGCGAATGCCATTTGAGTAATACATTATTTTTTCAATATCTACAAATTCAGCATACATTGCAAACTGAAAGTCATACTTTGGATGTAGGTTATTCTTTCATTTTGTTATTATTATTATACAGGATTTATAGAGCGCCAACAGTTTGCTCAGCACTTTACAACATAAAGGGAGACAGTACAACAAAGATACAGTTCAGTACAAGAGGGTTAGGAGGGCCCTGCCCCTTGGAGCTTACAATCTAAGAGATACACACCACCTCTAATAAGAGTTTAAATCGTATGTATATGTATAAAAGCAAAAAAGAACAAAACGGCGCACTCTCCTTGTGCATTACTGTGATATGTAGGAAATGTATTGTAAAATTACAAATGCATATTCACAAACCAAAAAAGATAAAACAGAGACAAGAAGCCAAAGATGACAATCACAGACAGCGGAGGTCCTTGGGTGAAAAGTGCTAACGCATTTCGGGAGTCGAACTCCCTTCCTCAGAGCAGTAAATAAAATACTTTTTTTTTTTTAACTGCTCTGAGGAAGGGAGTTCAACTGGCTCCTTGTCTCCGTTTTTATGACCTTTTTGGTTTTGAATGCCAATAAATTTCCTTTTCACGGTAATGCATTGAGAGTGGCCCTGTTTTGTTCTTTTTTGCCAGTATCAAGATTTCCCGATCTATCAAGGGTGGCACCTCAGCAAGTGCTAGATTCCGTGTTTTCTGTGCAGCATAAAGATTTGAGTGCTGGTTTTTGGTATCTGTTGGTATGTATATGTATGTCTGTCTCTTCTGTAATAAAATTCTTGCGATTTGTTTTTGTTAATGAGAGGTCACTGAGCCATAAACTGGCCATACGTGGTTCAGGCTGAACAAGAAAAAACGGAGCTGATTCCCTCATCTACACATTTGAGGTGGATGGGGGAATCCTCCCTGCTGTGCTATTGTATTTTAAGAGAAGGGAGGCTTCGAGCAGATTTTACCTGATATGGTGGTTGAACAGAAGTCGATTGGTAGATCGACCTCTGTTCAACAGCAGTGGCCACACGTTGATGGAAATCTGGCCAGTCTGCGATGACACCTTCTCTTAAGAGACATCTAAAAGTTAAGAAATATATATATATTTTAATTAATTAGTTAATTTATTTATTTTTAGGAAAGCTGTGTCATTGGGAACACCTAATAAACTTATACTGTAATGGGGATTCCTCAAATTGTACAGGTTTTAAGGTATCCTGGCCATGCACATAACAATCCAATTGCTTGGGGAAATGAAAAAATCATGAAAACAGAAAAAAAAAAAATTACAAACAGCACACTGGTTGCAGGTTGATGCAGTACACTGACTTTATTGTTAGCACATGTATGTGTAAAGTTAATATTCTCAAACTTGACATTACAAAGCAGAAAAATATCATATTTATTCATATAATATTTAAAGCTGAACTCCAGTTAAACAGCTAAATACACAAATGAATTACATACTTGACAGCTGTATTGGCTACTTGTGCTGCTCCTCCTCCCCCCTCTCTGGGCTCTGCTGTACTGCAACTGCAGGGGGCTGATATACATAACATAAAGGGACTGTTTTATACAGGTGAAGTAGGGAAGTCCTGTGTGGTCCTTTTAACCAGAAATCTGCATGCATTGCTATGGGAAATGCAAATATTTCCTTCAAACAGTTCTTAAGTAGGACAGCTAGGTATTCATTGTTATGGGATTTGTGAAATGTATTTACTGCAGCTGTCCACTGCTGACATTCCGCAGTGAAAGATGGCTCAGCAAATGGAAAACCAAAGTTCACGGAACGCAAAGAGAAAACAAACACACATACTTACAGGATCTTCATACACCTTTGTTCTGAATTAAAAATTCCTATGATCATAATATTTTATGTCTGACCCCACCTTCATTATGAAAAAGTTAAAAGTTTTTTAAGGTTCTCTCTCCTGCCTCCTCCCCTTCCCCTTTTGCAAATTAGCAAAATACTTAAAAAATAAAACCATTTTTTTTTCTTTATTGCCTAAAGGCCAGTTTATAGAAATGCAATCCAGATACGCATGCACGTTTTTGACACATTCCTGCACGTTTTTGACGTGTTCCAGTGCAGTTTTTATGCATTCCAGTTAATTTTTTCCCCTCTCTTTTTCTTCAATTTAAATAGGGACATGTGCATTCCAGTGCGTTTTTGGTGCCTTCCAGTGTGTTTTTGATGCATTTTACTGCGTTCCAGTACAGTACTGTGCAGGAAAAATGCAGCATTTTCTACTTTTTTTCTGCATCCGGAAGCACTGATGTAAACTATGACACTGACAATCATATAACCTACTTTCTGTGTGTGTTTTGGATGCAGAAAAAAAAGAAATTGAAATGCATATCGTAAGCACCGGCCCTAAGGCCTTGTTCAGGTGATTTAATCTGTGCCGTGTGCAGGAATGTGTTTTACCAGCAGAGGTCTATTGAGATGCAGCGGCTGCAAGGACACAGCTGCTGCTCCCAATGTAACATCCATGTGGGTGCAGGTGCACAGCTCCGAAAGCACCCAGGGTGGGTTCAGGGATACGCACTCACACACTTGTCATATTTGGATACAACTGCTGTGTCCGTACAGCCGCTGTGTCCTAATAGACATGACTAGGACTTCCCACATAGCGATGCATGGAACACCTGTGCGTCCCTATGTGAGTAAACACAAGCCCTGCATGGGGCGTGGATGTAATCACCCTGTGTGAATGAGGTCTAACTCTGGCCTAATATGTAAGATCCCCTGTGCATGCAAAGAAATGCCATGGGTCTCTGCCAGAGAACTGGTAGAGACCCCACGTTCCCTCTGCGCATATGCAACATATCTGAGATGTGTTACATAGCCATCCCTGGATCCATTTGCAAGATGAGCACACACACTGCGGGGCCTCTGCCAGAGAACTTTCAGATACCCACATTGTGTTTGTACACTGTTAGAAACTGTGGGGCCCCATACAGCCAACCTGACAGGGCCTCCCCCCTCCAAATAAAAAAAAAAAGCACATTTTATTATGCTTCAGTTATGAATAAACACAGTGAGTGATCATTACCGATCACTCATTGTGTTTACTCAGGAATGAAAGGGACTAGTTAATGTGACATATTTACCAGACCAGTGAGGGGGGGGGGGACAATTACTGGAACTGATCCCCTGTTGGCACTCTCTGCAGCAACTGAAAGCCAGCAAGCAGTAGAGTTGAAGAAGCCAGCTTTCAGCTGCTGCAGAGAGCCATACAGGGGGTCGGTTCCAGTAATTATTTCCCCACTGTGCTGATCACCCACCCTGCCCACATCTGATTCACCCAGCTGCCTGGGCCCCGTACAGGAGGACTGGTGGTACCCCCTTATCAACGGCGCTGTCTGTACATGCACCTGAGATCTGGAGCATGCACACACACACACCATGAGAAACTCTGCCAGGTCTTGTAGGCATCACAGAGACTCATGGGATGTCTGCACATGCACAGGATCTCAAGATGGAGATGAAAAAGAGGGGCGAAGGAAGATAACACTGGGCTCCATGGCTAGTATGTATTTTTTTTTATAATAAGACAAGTGTTAGAGATTTTTTTTTTTTTTGGGTGGGGGGAGAGTTAGGCAGAGTTTTGTTCCTCTTAAATACAGTAAATTGTTGGGAAGAGGAAAAGAGATTAGACAATTAGATTGTAATGTAAATGGTCAGATCATAGCGTTAGACTCCAAGACTTGCATCAGGGACACAGAGCAGCTTCTTTCTCCAATTATCTTACTGTCCTATTGTGAAACATTCAGTTTGCCAAGTAGGTAGATTTACACTTTGATATACACATTTTTATCTTTAGAGTGCTTTTGTCCCCCCTCCATTCGCCTCCTTCTTGTGCTTCAAACCAAGAAAACTACAGATTTTCATGAGCATGAGATCCACGATTTCTTCCTCTTCTGATGCCTGTAACAATTAAAAAAATAGGAGTAATGTTAGCAGTAATGTGACTTGGGAGCAATGTTTCATTTTTTTATTACACATTTTTTTTATAAACAAATATGTGAAAAGTGTCGTGTGCATTTGTATTTAGCCCCCTTTATTTTGATACCCGTAACTAAAATCTAGTTGAACCAATTGCCTTCAGAAGTCACCTAATTAGTAAATAGAGTCCACCTCTGTGTAATTTAATCTCAGTATATATACAGACACTGCAATTATAAATTGTAATTATAAACAAATAATACTCAATAAAGTGCCATTCAACAGTAGTCTTTCAATCAGATTATATGTGCATTTAATTTTTTTTTATGCTTGTTATTTCCCAGTAAAATTCTACTCTGTATAGACCAGTCTTTCTCAATCAGGGTGCCCAGGAACCCTGGGGTTCCTTGAGGTTTTTTCAGGGGTGCCTTGGCAAAATGTCTAAAAGTTGCCCAAAACTTTTATACAAGCCAGCAGGTGGAAGAAGCCTGCATTTTAGTTACACAAAGCCACAGGTCTTCATTGGGAACCATTATGACCTTCTAGTTATCGGCGTCCTGACAACCAATGACATCATCAGTTGATAAGGAGAATGTCAGTTGCCTGCACAGCATCCCTGTTTGACCCTCCCCCGTCCCTCTCCGTCAGTGCTGAGGTCACATTAGCTCAGTGATGGAGAAAAACTGAGAGAAACACTGTAATATTAGTGTGCAAAAAGTGTATTTGATTTGGAAGAATAAATCACCTCTAATGTTGGATGTCCTACATGTGTGGATGTTGCTGTGTTATATAAAACTATTAGAATAGTTTTTTTACATTTTAGAATGGGGTGCCTCAAGACTGTCCATCATTTTAAAGGGTGCCTTGGGATCTGTCCATCATTTTAGAGGGTGCCTTGACTGAAAAAAGGTTGAGAAACACTGGTGTAGACATCCAAAAGCCCTGAGACTGCTGCTGGGCACTGCCATGTTGGATTTTATATCAGCAGCCCCAAGAAACTCAGAGTTGTCACTCAAGTGACACTTTATGTTATTTCCTTTTGATTCTCCTCTGGCAGTTGCACTCGGGAAAGCTGTAAGAAGGAGAAAGAAGGGGTAGAGGAGCTGGGCCAGCACATGAGGAGAGGGCTGTGACCTGCAAGGAGGGAGGGGGCTGTAGTATAGATGTGGCTTTCTTGTTCAATTTTCTAGCAAGTTCAGAGGCACATTACAAGTGAATACAAACTACTTTGGAAAGGAAAACACTGCAAGCAAGCATTTATAATATTTAATTTTGCTGTGGCATTTACCTGCAATTCTTTTAAAGTCAGTGACAGGGTCTCTTTAAATATGCACTACGTAGTCTAAGTCATTGCTAGATCTTGTCAGCTGTCTAGCATTTGTATTTTCATATGCAGTATTTTATGTAATTGATCCATCTCATACCTGAAGCCAGACACATGCAACAGGTTATATATAGTATGCAAGAGAGTGGATGCTGACCTTGGTGCATTGTTTAACCACTTCAATACCGGGCACTTTTACCCCCTTCCTGCCCAGACCATTTTCAGGTTTCAGCGCTCTTGCACTTTGAATGACAATTGCGCAGTCATACAACATTGTACCCAAACTAAAATTTTATCATTTTCTTCACACAACTAGAGCTTTCTTATGGTGGTATTTAATCACCGCTGGGGTTTTTATTTTTTGCTTAATTAACAAAAAAAGACACATTTTTCTTTGTTTCTGTTATAAAAGTTTGCAAATAAATAATTGTTCTTCATAAATTTAGGCCAAGATGTATTCTGCTCCATTTCTTTGGTGAAAATAACCCAAATCAGTATTTATTATTTAGTCTGTAGGAAAGTTATAGAGTTCACAAACTATAGGATATATCTGAAAATTGATCAATCCTGAAGTACTGACGGGCAATCTAATTTCTTTAGGCCCAAAAATGTCAGAACAGTACAGATATCCCCCAAATGACCCCTTTTTGCAAAGTAGACAGTCCAATGTATTTCATAAGAGGCATGGCGAGTTTTTTGAAGTTGTAATTTTTTTGTCATAATTTTTTGGAAAATGAATTAAAAAAATTATTTTCACAATTTTTTTTTTACATACTGTCACCAGTGCAATACAGCATCAGCATATAACTGGTGTGGTAGTGATCAGGGACACTGACTGGTGACAGTTCCAAAAAAAAAATATATAATTTTTTTGTAAATTTTTTTTCTCTTTTTTTTCATATTACGCTATGATCAAAGTAGTATAATGTTACCATAGTAACATTATTCTACTTTGGGGAAGTGATCAGTTTTTTTTTTCTTTTTTTTCACATAATTTGACTGCTTATAGCAAAGAATTTCATTGCTATAAGCAAGCATTTAACTGAGTGAAATCTATTCATTCAGGTTTTTTTGTTGTGATTAGCTGTAGTTGGCCACAGCTAATCACATGCCACAGATGGGCTGTGATAGGCCCAGCCTGTGCATGTGATCTCTGTGACCATTCACAGCTAGATACAGTTGTATACAATGGATGTCATGAAAGGAAGCCATCCATTGTATACAACTGTCATGTGACCTGCTGTGATTGGTCACAGCAGGTCATATGGTACTGGCAACGGGACCGGTACACAGATCTGTCATCGGCCATGTCTGGGATATACGGCTGGGGACAGATCTTACCACAGAGCGGCCCTGCGAGCACGCGCAAAGCGCAATCCAGGAAGGTCGTAATATGACGCTCTCCCAAAGGCACACCCTATAGCAGTTTTACTGCTACAGGGAAGCCCTCCTGTGCAAAATCACGTATATATGTACACACACACACACGATTTTGCACTTCCACCATAGGGGGCACGTGCTGTGAACACTCATAGCAGAAGCTGATCTGCAAGTCAGTCCAGATGTTTGCCGTTACCCATAAATCATTGAGCAGGAGAAAGAACAGAGCTCTGCCTATGTAAATAAGGCAGAGCTCAGTTCTGATAGGTGGAACATAATCCTTCACTGCCTGTAGTAACAGCGCCACCTATTGTACATCAAGCACCAGTGCCGGACTGACAACTCATGGAGCCCCCGGGCAAAAGGGGATCATGGGGCCCCTGTGTCCTTGTCCAAACTCAAAAAAGCCTATGAAAAAGGTACCAGGGGCATGTCATGGCCCCCCTACTGACCCCAGGCTGTCGGGCAGTGCCCGATTTTCCATATGGTCAGTCCGCCCCTGTCAAGCACATAGCTAGGCACAAATTTAACCCTTTGATTACCCTAGATGTTAACCCCTTCCCAACCAGTGTCATTAGCACAGTGATCAGTGCATATTTTTAGCACTGATCACTGTATTAGTGTCACTGGTTCTCGCAAAGTGTCAGTTAGTGTAAAAATGCAATATCGCAGTCCCGCTATAAGTTGCTGATCGCCGCCATTACTAGTATAAAAAAAAATTCCTGTATATGTCCAATAGTTTGTAGACGCTATAACTTTTGTGCAAACTAATCAATATACACTTATTGGGATTTTTTAAATCAAAAATATGTAGCAGAATTCATTTTGGCCTAAATTTATGAAGAAATTTGATTTTATAATTTTTTATTGGATAAAAAAATATTGTTTTTTTTTTTTTTTTAAATTTTTGGTCTTTTTTTGTTTATAACGCAAAAAGTAAAAACTGCACAGCGCTTTACATATATATTGTACATTCACATCAGTCCCTAACCCTCAAGGGGCATACAATCTTAAGTCCCTAACTCACATTCATACATACTAGGGCCAATTTAGACAGGATCCATTTAACCTATCAGCAGGTCTTTGGAGTGTGGGAGGAAACTGGAGTACCTGGAGGAAACCCACACACGCACAGGGAGAACATGCAAACTCCAGGCAGGTGGTGCCGTGGTTGGGATTTGAACCAACGACCATAGTGCTGCCAGGTGGAAGTGCTAACCACTTAGCCACTGTGCTGCCCCAACATACATTTTATTTATGAACAGTGTTGCATGACTGCGATACAGTGCTGCGTGACTTTAACTGACAATTGTGCAAAGAATGGTCTGGTCAGGAAGGGGGGTAAATCTTCCGGAGGGCAAGTGGTTTTAAAGACCGGAAAGGTATATTTGCTCTTCATTAAAAAAGAAACCACACCCAAGCAGAAAACTCTTTTTAAAGACCCATACACAAACCAACTGACTTTATATGTGGCAAAGTTGTCTTCAAATGATTTCTGTATGAAAGATGTATAGGTGATTTATAGGTGATTACTGCATTATGTTATAAGTTTGCCGGTCAAAGGTTTGCTAACCTGACCACCCAAAGATACAGCCAGAATATGACTGGTTACTATAGGCAGCAAATATAGCTTGCTTTCCTCCAACAATAAGTTCCGTGTCTTGCATGCTTCATATGTACAGTATTGAAATGTTATGTGATATTTAAAGTAGATGTAAACCCAGTCACTAAAACCTTAAAAAAGCTTTAACATGTTAATAGAATTACAAAAGTAATTTTCCAAATGGGGGAGATTTACTAAAACTGGAATGTGCAAAATCTGGTGCAGTTTTGTAGAGAAACCAATCAGCTTCCCGCTATTATTGTATTATAAAGCTTAATTGAACAGATTAAAGTTTGAAGCTGACTGGCTACCAAGCTGACTGTACTCCAGCTGTGGTGAAACTATAAATCCGATCATGGCTGACTGTGTTTGTCAGGGTCTGGCAATGTCTCATGGGATTTATAGTATCATCACAGCTGGAGTGACAAATTTGTCTACCCCGGTCTACAACTGGCCTGGGCCAGAATGACGTGTCCCTGGTCCTGAAGCCATCCAATCTTTCAGGAGGCTGCAGGATCGATCTGGAACATAGACCAGCCTGGGGATGGGCCAAGGAGATGACCTATTGCTTCATTGATACCTGGCTGCCTGCACCAGGAAGAGGCAACCAACTGGAGTACAAATATGGTGGTGCAGGACCCTGTGTATGTTACCCAAACAGCAGATCACAGCAGGACAAGGCCATATACGCTGTGTGGCTAAGTATGTGTTTTGGATTCACTGTGCAGGAGAGTATGTGTTTTGGATTCACTGTGCAGGAGAGTATGTGTTTTTTGTATTCACTGTGCAGGAGAGTATGTGTTTTTTGTATTCACTGTGCAGGAGAGTATGTGTTTTTTGTATTCACTGTGCAGGACAGTATGTGTTTTGGATTCACTGTGCAGGAGAGTATGTGTTTTGGATTCACTGTGCAGGAGAGTATGTGTTTTTTGTATTCACTGTGCAGGAGAGTATGTGTTTTGTATTCACTGTGCAGGAGAGTATGTGTTTTTTGTATTCACTGTGCACGAGAGTATGTGTTTTGGATTCACTGTGCAGGACAGTATGTGTTTTGGATTCACTGTGCAGGAGAGTATGTGTTTTGGATTCACTGTGCAGGAGAGTATGTGTTTTGGATTCACTGTGCAGGAGAGTATGTGTTTTGGATTCACTGTGCAGGAGAGTATGTGTTTTGGATTCACTGTGCAGGAGAATATGTGTTTGACAAGAACCCAGCAATAGAGGTATTAGGTGAAAAAAACATGGGGGAGGGTGTAGTTGACTACCACTTTAAGGTCAATATGCCTCCTATAAAAGACAGAACCAGCACTGCATCATGGGACAATCATGGTCTCCACCAAGTGTTTCTTTTTGCTCCAGATAAGTAATAGGAAGGAGAGTATATACGAAGGGAGAAGGGTCAGGCATGGTCTACTTCACATTGTGTATAATTCAAACTATACCTAAAGCCTGTACTATTATTGAGGATTAGTGTCTGAAGAATTTGCTAAGTCATTCACTAATGCCAAGACATATTTGAATAACTTTGTAAATGTACTATTTAGCATTTCCAGAGAAATTGCTGATTTCCTGAATGGTTCATGACTAACCACATAACATCCTCTGAGTATATGTAAAATTGTATGCTTCTACTTTTAGCCTACCTTGTGATTCTTCTGCTCCTCACTGAATGCAACCAAAATAACCGATATGAAGAGATTCAGCACAACAAAAGTCATGAAAATAATGCATGATCCGACGACAAAGGAGCCTAGCACAGGGTTATAATCCAACACCTGAAAATGAAAGTAAAAACAAAATATAACATCAGATGGCTTTCAAAAATAACAAAATTTAGACAGGTTTTAGTTAAGTAAATGTCATCTCTATTTGAGGTTTGTTTTTCCAACCTTAGGTTTTAGTCATTTGCTGCAAAGTTCCTGACCCTTTTGGTCTTCCTGGTGGTACCCAGCTGCACCACCACTATACTTAGTGCCTAGTATAAAAGTAGAAATTTACTCTTCAAAAATCAGTAAAATGCAGAAAACAGAGCCTAATATCAGGACAATTTAATTCCAATGCACGTGCACAGGAGATACATAATTTGTGGCCACCCAATAGCTGAACAGCAGGTACACCAAACCCTGAAGAAGCCAGGGAAGATAGCATCAATGGATGGAACAGTGAGGGACTGCTTTGAACTGTCATTGCTGGAGAAGGGCCCAAAGAGGGGAGGCTACCATAATGTGTTGTGCATACTGCCCATGATGGCAAGAGTTGCTTGTCCTCGGCCAAGCTACTGGTCTGGATGATTGCCCTCACAGCTCAGCTCAACTCACCTTAAATGAGCTTCATTATTCAGAACATTCTACATTAATGCTTAATTTCTTTCTAGCTTCGGAACCCTAGTCCTTTATGGTGGGTATCCCACAAATATTTCTTAGTTTACAACTTTCTGGCCTCTAGGCAGTTCTGGTCTTGCAAGTATCTGAGTGAACTTTACACTGCTCAAGAATTGCCATACATACATCTCTGGTTAGCGGGCTACATTTCCCCGGCCCATAACCCCTTTTAAACTTTTCTACCTTTACAGTCCTTACGCTTATAACCCAATCTACCTGGCTGAATCATCTTTAAATTCTGGTCTACCAACATTGCTTTCTCATTTTTGTGAAATGGCAATGGGACTTCTTTTGGTAACAAAACACAAGAGAACTGGTCAAAGGTTTGCTTAATATTAGTGAAGCACTCAATAAACATGACCTCCATTGATTCTGGCTACAAGACTTAAATGTGATGGCACTGGGTTCCAGTCTAAATTACAGATGCTGTTTTGTTAAAGGAAAAGTACAGTGTATTTCCCCTGAGTGTATATTTTTAGATGTTAGATTTTATTACAGTGTCTACCTTAAAGAAGTTATTGACAGACCTTCCATGTTTTTAAAACTCTGTTCTTTTATTTTTTTAATGACATTAACTATGCATATTAAAGATATTTAAAGATAAGCTACTAGAAAAAGCTTGGCACAATTGTACTCTATTTTTATAATTCCTTTATTTACCCAAAATACCACAATACAAATGGTTAGGATACTATAAATAAAAGTAGATGACATAGATGCAGATCAAACATAGCAACAGAGCATTCAAGAATCAAGCCAAAAAAAAAAAACGGTATGTATAGTGGTTTGCGATATGTAAAACAACAAAATAGTCCACAAAAGTAAGTAACAAAAATTACCTTTTTTTTCTAATTCCTTTATTTAGCCAAAAGACCACAATACAAAAAGCAATTAGTCCTCATGCACACTGGACGTTTTTACAGCTGCTGTTTTTTGGCGTTTGATGTTTTTTTCTTAAGTCAATAAACTCCCCAGCATGTTATCCTATGTGTCCATGCACACATAGACTGTAATCAATGTTTTTTTGGCTGGGACATTTTTTGGCTGGAAAAAAAAACCCCAAAACTAGTGGGTTTCTAGTGGAGTTTTTCAGCTGTAAAAACGCTCTAGCACTGTAAAACACGGTAAAATGATGCGAACTAGCATTTTTGGACTTTTTTTAACCCAAAAAAAATTGTGGAGGGTAAAAAAAACGCTAAAAACTGCAAATGTGGAAAAACACAGGAAAATGCCACTAATTGCGGAAAAACGCCACTAAACGCTAATGCGAAAATGCTAAAAAAAAACTGAAAAAACTCACATTTTTAATATGACTTTACACAGCTAACATTGCCAGCGTTAGCAAAACGTCAAGTGTGCATGAGGGCTTATGCAGGCCATAGATGGGGAGAAAACCGGCCAAATTTTTCTTTAAAAAAAGAAAAATCGGTCGTTCAAGTGGCCGACATTACCAGGAATGGTACAAAAAAAAAAATCGTCTGATTTTCATCCCGTCTACAGCCGGCAAAAAGTGTCCCCGTAGAGAGCTCCGCTATTTCTTTGACAGTTCCTTGACATTTATAGCGGTTGCAACAATGTATCTATTTGTATCCATTTCGGATACAGATGTTTTTATTCAGAAACAAATAGATACATTGTTGCAACCGCTATAAATGTCAAGGAACTGTCAAAGAAATAGCGGAGCTCTCTGCGGGGACACTTTTTGCCGGACTGGAATTCCTCTTCTTCTTCATCTTCTTCATCTTCTTCATCCTCTTCATCCTCTTCTTCTTATCCTCTTCTTCTTCATCCTCTTCTTCTTCTTTTTGTCTTCCTCTTGCAGGTCACTGCTCATGCGCATATTTTTTTATCAGTAAAAAGATCGGCTGATTTGCCCATAATTGCCGCGAAAATCGGCTGATCGGCAAAATCGGCCGATTTTTTTCCAACTTTACCGATAAAAAAAAATCTGCCAAAATACCGAAAAAACGGCCGAACAATTAGCCCATTTTATTTCGGACGAAAAATCGGCCGATTTTCAACCCATCTATGGCCTGCATAACTCTCTCTTGATGAGGAGAGGACATTCATTTTAAAATGTTAGCTGACTCAGATTTGCAAACTGATCTGTTTTACATCTTTAACCACAATATCTCTAAAAAAGACTATATAGTTTCTGTAGACTTGCTTCTGATGAAGGGGTCATTTGCTATGCATGCTCTTGTTTATTTCTATACAGGTATTATCTATTTACCTTGACTTAAAAGAGAAATGGGGCTCTTTCCCCCCATTTGATGGATGCAGCATTGGTCCGATGAAGTGATCACATGACCACTGATCTCTTGAGTTCTCACAGTAACTCTGTGCATAAAGTGTTGGCTGTCAGTCACCGCTGTCTGCTCTGCCCCCCCCCCCCCCCAATGCTCACTTGAGCGCTGGGCTGTGGAGAGGGAGGGAGCGGAGCCAGGTGCCACTCCAGACTCTGGAGTGGATCCCGACTTTAAAGTTGGGATCTTTCCCCAGTGTGGACTGGCTGAGTAACGTCAGCCAACACTGGGCCTCTGCCCACTGTCAGCTGAAAACGGGTCGCAGGAGTGCAGAATGAACTGTACACCTGTGAGGTATAGATGAAGTACAGCCAAAAGATCTTTGGCTGTACTTCTCCTTTAACCTCCCTAGCAGTCTGATTATGTCCATATTTCTGTGCTCAAAGCGGTACATTTTTTGCATGGAAATATGTATTTTTTTTATTGTAGTTTTAATTTTTAGGAATAACTCACTGAAATCTGTCGAACAAGAGTCTATAAAACTAGTAAACATTCCAGATATGATAAAACTTGAAACACACGAAATCATAAATTATAATTTAATAAATAATCATAAAAAAATAATAATATAATAATAAAAAATTTAATTCAATAATATAATCAAACCAAAAACACTGAAATGTGAAATATAGCGCCAAGTTCGCACATCAGTGGGCAAAGTTGCAAAATCGTTTTCAGTGTATGATGACGAATTTCCCCCACGAATCATTATCACTCAATTCTGCAAGTGGTTCTGATTTACTATCGCTGTTCTCTAGCTGGTCTAAAACCGCTTTTGACCTAAAGGGACGCTTTTTGGACGCCATAGACATTTCTCAGTTTCAAGAAAGAACAGTAAAAATGCAGGCAGGGCACAGGACAAAGCACTCGGGACAAAATGTATGTGAAATGGTTTGATACAGTAATGTTTTACTATGTGATTTTAGTGATTTTAGTGAATGTCACTTTTTGTCATTTTCAAATTTCCCGCCATTCCGTCCCCCGTACGTCCCCGACGCTCGCAGTGGACAGAACCCAGAAGACAGATGCCGGCATCCGCCGGATTACATTGCCGGGGACACTGCAGGAGGAACATCGCGGGAGCGCAGGACAAGGTAAGTGAAGAACAGATCCCGGAGTAGCACCGCATGGTAAGCCCGAGTGTAGCTCGGGGTTACCGCTTGTGGTGCTGAAACTTTACCTCGAGCTACACTCGGGAATACCGCCAGGGAGGTTAAAGTATACCTACCATGAGGGAAATATGGAAACTGCCTCTTTTTTGGGAATGCAAATAACTTGGATGTCATGTTAATGCTGTCGATTCACAATCTCAAAATTATAGAAATTAGGAGTATTGACTCCCCTTTGCCTATATGTATGCATATTCCCAGTGTGGAGATGCTCCTTACACACACCCACCCCTACACACATCCAATCTATTTCTGCAACAATTTCAGGGTCAGGGGGAATCAATGGAGTGGATAAGCCAGGTCAATTTTAATTCTGGATCACCTGTACTATGGGCAAAAAGATTGGGTCAGATGACATTCAATTGCAAAAATCAGCACTCTGACACAGTGGGGGGAGATTCACTAAAACTGGAGCACTCAGAATCTTGTGCAGCTGTGCATGGTAGCCAATCATCTTCTAACTTCAGCTTGTTCAAGTAAGCTTTGACAATGAAACTAAGATGCCGATTGGTTTCTATGCTGAGTTGCACCAGATTTTGCACGCTCTAGTTTTAGTAAATAGCCCCTACTATGTGGCGCTTTCTTCTGAGGCGTATATCAAATTTTAAAGTTTCCCTATTCAATAGGAGTGCCTCACTGGCCAATAAAGGCTCTTTCACTGGACAGGGAATGACTGACAAATTAGCTTAATACCTGCCATGATAGCTTCACTGTCTTTAGATGATGTATAAGCATGGCTTTTTTTTCAGCGGGAATGTGGGGGAACACAGTTCCAGCACCTACAGGATTTAATGTATGTAATGGCAAGGGGTTCTGAGGTGTGCTGGAAGGTCTATTGATGCTGGCTGCTGGGGGATCTATTGTCACTGGAGGAGATCTATTTTTGCATGGTGATCTATTGTTGCTGGGGAGGTATAGTGTTGCTGGTGGGGGATCTATTGTTTCTGAAAGGGATCTAATGTTGCTGGCTGCTGGAGAGTCTATTGATCGTAGCTGCTGGGGAATCTGCTGTTGCTACTGGGGGTCTATTGCTGCTGGGGTGGTATTTTATTGCTTAGGTCCATTGTTGCTGGAGGAATCTATTGTTGCTGGGCAGAGAGTGTCTTGCTGTTGGCTGTGGGGAATCTATTTTACTGCTTTTCTTGTTATCATTAACAAATTACCACAAAATGATACTTGTCTGTGTATTCTCTATAAGGAACAGTACTGGGAGGTGGGTAGGAACCAAGGGACTATGGAGGGGGGTAGGGAGCGGAGACAAAAAGTGATTCAGAAGGGGGGTGTTCCTGTGTATAACATATGTAAATAAAGCTCTAGTACAGGGGGGGCAGCAACCAGTAGATCATGATCTACCAGTAGATCTCAGCCAGGTGACTGGTAGATCACAGTCAGGGTTTGCTGACCCGCCATCCCAGAGCATCAAACAGAGTGCAATGCAGAGGGACTACTTGTAAATTTGGAGCTGTAGTAGGGTGCAAGAGCCAATGTCTCCTCTGTAGTGCTTGCTCCTACACCTTGTCATGGTTGGTGGGTGTAGCAACTGTCAAGCATGACCCATTCAAGCAACACGGGGTGTAATTCCTGCTGCAGCATGTGTACACCTTTGGCTGCTGCCTCAGCAGCTTAAGGAGGTAAGGATTGGGGGTGGTACAACCAAGACTCAACCGCAGGGTTTTAGCACACCCCCACTTTACATGTGAATGAGCCCTAAGATTTCTGCGGCGATATGCTGCCTCCTCAACACCTGATTTAAACCCATGATTGCTGTGCAATGCATGTGATTGTGACATGGTAGTACTGAAATTAGAGGTTTAAATCAAGTGTGAGGAGGTAACATTGTCCGACACTGTGCCCGCAATCTGTGACTTATCTCATATTGTTCAGGTAGATCTCCACATTTTTAAGATTGTCAATCCCTGCTCTAGTATATATGGCTTTGGTGGAAAACCTTTGTAAAACACTCCCTTAAGGAAAAGGAAAAACTCTTCTTGTCATCAAGAAGGGAGTGTGATATCACTGCTTTTGTATCCGTAGCACATGTAATACATTTTGCAAACAAAGCACATTTTAAACAAGAATATACATTTTTCATCTCACTGCATTTTAGATGTTTATAGATGAAACATATGAACATAAGATCTGAAAAAGCACTTATAGAAATAATAAAGGTACTAATAGAGATGTACAAAGCTAGTTACTGCTAGCAAAGTAAAAAGTGAAGCAGGCCCCTATTTGTTGCTGGGAGATGTGCCTCCACAATGCAAATAATCCAGAAAATTTGAATGTTTAGCCAATAACGTACTCCTTCATTCACTATTATCTCAAATAAAACAGCATGGTTGCTTACAATACCTCCTCATAGTTGAAAATCCCCAGCTGAAGGCTGACCATAGTCTTTGCTGAATCAAACACAGTTTTATATGAGTTCAGCTTCCATCCGAATATCAGATTACACTAAAACCAGAACAGAACATATATTGAAATGTTGAACTGTTAACACAATGTAGAAAACATTGCTTCCTTACTAAAAATGTTGTAAAATTTATCTTAAATCTGTGTTTTGTGTAAACTTAAATGCTAAATGGAATACTATGTTTGGAATCCATTGAAGGACACAGGAATTGAGTAATTTGCAGATATCTGAGTCTACTGCCGTCAAAAAGAGGTTGAGACACTGGCAAATAAAAAATGGTAAACCAGCTCCCATATAATCCCATCTCCAACCATTATGCCTCATTTCTTGACCAAGCAGTACATAGGGCCAAAACATACTGGGACCTGTGTCCCTCAATGGTATTCAAGAAAAAGATTTTACTCTTAGTACAAAGTTCATATTTTCTTTATTTTCCATTAATATGCAACATTAAATAATTCTTAGACATTTGGGACATCAAAAAGCAGTTCTACTGAGGGGCGGCAAATGGCCACCAAAAGATTCGACAGATATATAGACCATATTATAAACAGAATCTGAAGGGCTCAACACCTAAACAAAGGTTAGAAGAAGCAGGGACAACAAAAGGGAATTGCCACAATCCAAGGGGAAGGCTTCAAGGATCAACCAAGTGCTTTAGACCATCCATGACAGCTAATCAGCAGTAGGGGTAAAATGCTACATTAAAAAATAATCACTCTCAGTTAACTATATAGAAGACAACCATCATTCAAAAGAAAGAAAACAGGTGGAAAAACAAACTACTGGGCAACAAGGTAGAAAGCAATGTATACTAGGGTATACTTGGATTGACAAGGTATGTCAACAAAAAACACCAGCCATTCAACAGCCCCCTAACCCTTTTCCTTAGGTACCACAAGTTATATAATAGGAAGAAAGATGTGGCTTAATAGAGCAGTAATCTCTTAAAGATACATGGATGTCAGACATTTTACAGTCCAAATAGAGAAAGAAAAAAGAAAACCCTTACATTAGGAAAAATAGAAGAGTAGTAACCCTGACTCATTTTAAATGAGAGGGTTGGGTGAGCGATAGGCATGTACACGCCATGGGCGGACTGACAACACATGGGGCCCCCGGGCAATAGGGGATCATGGGGCCCCTGTGTCCTTGCCCAAACTCAAAAAAGCCTATGAAAAAGGTACCAGGGGCATCTCATGGGGCCCCCTATTGACCCTGGGCCCTCGGGCAGTGCCCGCGTTTCCAAATGGTCAGTCTGCCCCTGGTACACGCCAAACATTTTAGTTGTGGATGCATTAGTTCATTGAAGAAATTTTGTTTCATTCTATTCGCTATGTTGAACTGTTTCATTTTCAAAATTTGTTTAGTATCTTTGGCATTAATTTAATATATTTGTTGGTCCAGGTGGATTCGAAAAAACTGGCGAATTGAACGGATTCAGATCGGAGGGATTCAATATTTTCAGACGCTAGTCCAACATACCAAGAGAGATGGCATGAGCTGATTGGACAATATCAAATGGCATCATGTACATCCAAATTATTGAATGGAACAAAATTTGGATCCATTTGTTATCCAAAACCGAATTATCAAACAAATTAAAATTTTTTATTAATTTCCCCATGGGTCCAAACTACTATAACATTACGTGATGTCATCCAAATTAAACTAATGCATTTGTTAATGTTGTTATAACTTTCTTTAGTTGATGTTTGTTAATTTGTCCAATCAGAGACATTTTTGTCCAAAAATGAATCGTAGATAATGAAGTGCAACATCACCTGTATAAAAAGGGGTAGGCAGGGGTGAGAATATACCGTAACGCAACCTAGTGTATAAGGATATCAGGGGCAAAAGGACATTTTGCAGGTGCAGTATGGATGCCTGCCAAACCTCTGTTTTAGACACAGGAGACCTCTCTAGTTTACATCTACTGTTAAATTATCAGAATATAGTTCAATAGTGTTTCTATAGAGACTATAGGTCAGGCTTTCTCCAACTGCACACATTTTATGTCCTTACTCTTGTAGATATCACACAGGTATCACACTTGATGGATCTGCAAAACAGAAGTAATAGAATGCAGCATACTCACAGCAATGGAATAAGCTAGGAACATAATTATGATGACAGTGATAAATCCAGAAATGTCACCCCAGGCCCTGCGTAGAGTTGCAGTGATCATGTTCAGTTTTGGGTTCAATCTCAGCAGATGCCACAGCTTGATAGTTGATAGGAGCACTAGGAAAGCTATAAGGTAGCCCAAGGCTGCATCTGCAGCAGCCGTTTCATTAAAACTTACAAACCTGCATCTAATATCTTCTTATTAACAGTACTAACATAAGTATGAATGAGTTGGATCTTAATAGAATAATTGAGTTTATTATATTTATATTTGTAATTTCTAGATTGGGAAAAGTAAGTAATTAGACTTCATAGTCTGTGAATATACATATGAACATATATCTTGGGTTTTTCCTTTACATTCAAGCCACATATGAGAGCAATTAGCTATACCTTCTTGATCCCCCATCCTCCCCCATCTATGTAAGAGATAAAGTTACACTCAGACTTTGATTGAGAGAAGTAGATTGGAGGTTTTTGTTTTAATACCTCTGTTGGTGTCAATTATCAATTTAGTGGGACTACAAGAGAATACCAACCCACTTTTAGGAGATGGTGGGGGCTGGATTGCTCTTTTAAGAGCAGAACAAAGACTTTTTAAGTCTCACACACTTTGCTAGAAGCCTTGATGCGACACATACACACACACACACATATACATATATACAATCTTATTATCAAGAACTTAACTATATTTTTTGGACATTATTTAAACATTCTGTATGCCAATATTTTATTTCTAATTTTATGCAACATTATTATTAAATCATCTTTTTGAGTTTATGCAAGAAGTGGAAGGACTTTCTATCTGAACATTTCTCATCAATACAAGTTAATAAAATATCGAGACAATACGATATTTTACAGTGGCGAGCCTCCAGTTCGATTCGTTTCCGATGATCGATTATTTTTGACTTTTTTCTCTTTCACCTTGATGAGAGGGAGATGTTTGTAAGTCAACAAAATATGAAATCAAGCTTTCAGGAGAAGTAAAAGTCTGCAACAGATGAATCGTCGGCATAATCGAGAACCTAAAAGCAGAATTGGTGAGAATTTTGCGCAATTGCAAAAAACGCTGTTCCTTGGTGATGTCATTTCCCGCCAAGAGAGAAAAGACGCGTTATGTAAAGAAAGACCTTCTTAATCGGTAAGTAATGGATTTTATTGATGAATTATCTAGAGAGAGTAAGTTAGAATTCAAGAATCTGTCTACATTTGTTAAAGATGATGAACTTTGGCGGTACATGTATAATGAGTGCTTACAGGCTAATATTAAGATAGAAAAATCTAAGTTTTCCTTTAAGAAACTGAGCAAACAAGTTAGAAATGTAATGAAGTTAGTTAATGTTTTTAACGCCATGATTTTTGATGTTCCTAAGACTGCTGCTTGTGTAATGAAGCAAGATCAGAGCAGTGTATGTGCTAATTGCCAGATTTTGACTGAGCAAATAGATGATCTGCAAAGTGCAATTCAAACAAAAGACATTCAGTTATCTGACCTGCAGAATGATGTAAAAAGAATTTGTGTGAATACTAAGGCAGAGAAACAAAAATCTTTTGTACCAGAGATCCAGTCTATAGAAGGAGACCCTATAGATCAGGAAGAAATGTTTAAGAGAAAATTAAGGGATAAAGCTGCAGAACTTAATCTTAAAATCCTTGATCAGCTCATGAAAATTTTGAAGGATATGCCAGCCTATGATAAGGAGCCGATGCTTTCCATAACATGGAGGTTTATGAAAATTTTTGTAATAATTTTTGTTTAAATCAGGAGCAAAGAAATTTTTTCTATTCTGTTTATGGCTCCCCAGCGTTATGGCACGTAGATTAATCAAAACGCCATATATTGAGGATGATGAGGAAATGCATAGCAATGCATCAGACCGACTGCGTCAATTATTGATATTTACTACTGGAGAGGAAACTCCTTCTTTGGAAATCTTAGACTCCTTAAGAGCTACGATTAATGATGATCCTTTTGATTTTAAAAATAGATTTTCTAAAGTATACAAAATGATATTTAATTTAGACAATGAGACTCCTTCTATGGTAAATGCTTTTGTTAAAAAATTCAAGTATCTTGATCCAGCATCTTTTATTATTGCTACTGGAAAAAATGATTTAGATCAAGCAGCCAAAGTTATAGATACATTTAGAAGACAACTTAAATTAAACAATCAGAAGAAGGAAAGTTTAATTGTTCAAAATGGAGAACAGAGAGAGACCATGTGCTTAGCCACACCCAATTATGATGATGAACACGTCACAGGCAGGACGAGAGTCTCAGAGCAGACAGGAAATACTATTTGTTTCTATTGTAAACGATTTGGTCATTTGAAAAGAGATTGTATTCATTATAAATTAGATTTACAAAGAAAAAGCTTTGGAATTAGAAGACCAAAATATAATTTCTGAACAATCTGCTCCTCCATGTTCCAACAATAGTCTGTCTGAGTTGCCTTATGCCTCAGAAGTTAAAAAGATCAGTTCACTGAGAGTCAACAACAGCTTAAACAATATGGTAAACAGTGCTGTTGTCATTAATAGGAATGGTTTATTGCCATTGCCGAAATTTAAATCAGGATCAAATCGAGATTCTTCTTCCTTACCGTTGGAATATGTTGCTCCAATTTTATTGGATGAAAGTGGAAGGCCCAAATCAACATTAATTGATTCTTCCATGTACTGTAATGTTGGAAGTATTTGTACAGCAACTGCTGACATGTCTTCAGATCATAAATGGCCACATACAGGAACCAATCTTGAATTGGAACAATTGGTTAGATCACATAAAGATCTTTGGAGTCAAAGCAAAAATGATGCAGGTTTGTTTACAGATTTTGAAGTTGACATTGAAGGTAGAGACCCTAAGCCTCAACCTCAATACAAATTGCCATTAGAATCAATTAATCCAATTTCTTCCATTGTAGATGAGTTTTTACAGCAAGGAATTTTAAAGAAAGTACAATCAGTGGTGAATAATTGTATTTGGCCTATCAAAGCTGATAATTCATATTCTTTATCAGTTGATTTCAGGACATTGAACAAATGCATCACAAATAACAAATCTATTGTTCCTGATTGTAACATAATGTCACATCTGGATGCCAAGGCCAAAATATTCTCTGTACTTGAAATCGCCAATAGCCATTTTGTCAGTACCCTTAGCTAAGAGTTGTCAATATAAACTTGCTTTTAGCTTCAACAAAGAAATGTATACATTCACAAGATTAGCCCCAGGCTTAGATGTAAGTGATGGAATTGTTCATGAGTATTTGGGAAAAATATTATCTAAATTCTCTAGGCCAGAATGTATTGTCCAGCATGTAGACAAGCTTCTCTTGTCTACACAAAATATAACTGAACATATCACTCTTTTGTCTGAAATATTTACGTTGTTACAAACAGCAGGATTGAAATTGAATACAGAGAAAGTTCAGTTGATGAAAAGACAGGTGGAATTCCTTCATATGCAAATTAGTCATGGACAGAGACAGTTGTTGCAAGAAAAAGTTAGAACTATTTCTGCTTATCCAATTCCAACAAATCGCAAGGCTTTGCATCAGTTTTTGAGTGAAGTAAATCATTGTAAAGATTTTATACCCAATTTTGCAGAGAAGTCTAGATCATTATTTGATCGTTTGAAACGACAAAAAAGATGGTGTATTTGATCAATGGGATCAAACTGAGAAAGAAGCTTTTGAACTATTGAAATGGGATTTGCAGAATGCTACTACATTAAATACTGTTGAGTTTTGTAGTAAAATTCCTTTTGTTTTAGAAACCAATGTTTCCAATAATGCAATCTCAGCAACTTTGTCACAATTAAAAGAAGGTAATCAGAAAATAATAGGTTTCTTCTCAAGAACTTTGACAAATATGGAGAAAAACTTTGATGCACATATGAAAAAATTGTTAAGTGTTTTCTTTGCAGTCAAGGTAACTGAAAACATTGTGAGATCAAGTAAGATCATATTACAGACACCTGATTCATCACTGAAACTCCTAGAGGAAGATGGTTCAACAGAAAATTATCGTGAAAATTATCCTATATGGTACAAAACACTGTCATCCAAACACATTCAGATAGATGTAACAAAAAGACATTTTCAGGAAAACATACCAACACATGTTTGTACAGCTGTAAGTGAGAAGAAGTTTGTACCTCATGTTTTCAACATAGGAACTGAGAAAAGTTTGAAACCAGTATGTATTACTGCAGATCAGTCTTACACTACAAGAAGTAAGCCAACACAAAAAACAGTTACGCATTTTTCCAATTTTATAGAGATAAGATCAAAGGCATAATCCTTTGTCATCTCTGGGTTGATACAAAACCTTTCTTTGGTTTTGAAACCAAGGTTTTGATTCATGACCAATAATGGAGATGTAGCGTCCTGTTATATTTATTTTTGTTTATTTCAGGTACTTATATAGCGTCGTCAATTTATGTAGTGCTTTTTTACATATATAGTACATTCACATAAGTCCCTAACCCTCAAGAGGTGTACAATCTAAGGTCCCTAACTCACAGTCATACATACACATACTAGGGCCAATTTAGATAGGAGCAATTCTCCTACCAACATGACTTTGGAGTGTGGGAGGAAACCGGAGTACCCTGGAGGAAACCCACGCAAGCACAGGGAGGGAGAACATACAAACTCCAGGCAGGTGATGCCATGGTTGGGATTTGAATCAGCGACCCTAGTACTGTTAGGCGGAAGTGCCCGCATTCTAAAATAGAACACTACAAGTCAATAAGAAGTGTTATAATCAAAATATGTCTTCCATGTCATGACTAGAAATGTTTGTGATTGTGATATGTAATATTAACAGATAAATGTAAGAGGATTAATCCATGTAAAATTATCAATGCCAAAATAATGATACTGCATTTCTGTTACAGGAAATGACCTAAGAGTAACTGTTAAAGGAAGAAAACTCAAATATTTCTAAACCTTTCAGATGATAATACATTTTCCAAGAAGGAAATTTATTCTGGAAGAAGCTTTGCAACAAGAATTTCATTCATCATAGTTTTTGTTGTTCTTTTTATGTTCAATAAAGTTATTTTAACTTTACAGAGCGCTAGAAGAAGACAAGACATCTCAAGGCATCTCATAGAGGAAGAACTTATAAAACAATTGACTTTTGACTACTGATGAAATAATTCATTCATCATCAGATATATTGGTTTTTTTTTTGTGTGTACATTTTATTTTGACATGATATGTTTACCATATCAAGATGAGATCAGTTTTCACATGAACATTTGCAATCACACACTATGTATTTTCAGAAGTGAAAGGGTTAAACTTTTGTTACAACAGAGTCACTCTACTTAGTTAGAACATCTGTTGTTAATTAAGCTAGAGATAAGTTTTTCTAAGGTACATATAGAAAAACTTAGGCAAGCTTTACATTGTTATATGTATGTTAAAAAAAAAAAAAAAAAAAAAATCATTTGATATACATGTATGGATTGAAGCTAGGGAACATATGTTATGTTTAAATGTTAATAAGGTAATTTGAAAAATGTATGGATTATAGAACTGTGTGCTACACACATTTTGGAGGGAAAATATGAAACATCTATTTTTTAAGTGACATATTTTAAAGTATTGTACTATAATGTTACAGTTATACATTTATTAAGGGGATGAATTATTTGGTAAAAGGAAAATAATAAGGGTAAAAATATTTTTATGTGATACATAACAAAAGGTTTATCAAAGAATTTGTTTTCCCATTATAGAATCAAATTAAAGATATGTTCAGATCAATTATCTTAAGATCCAAAAACGCATGAATGGATACGAAAGTGACGAGAATGTGTATAAATGGATTAAGATAAGGAAAATGATTAAGATTCGATAAAATCGATCATTTTGAGAGGGAAATGTTAGAAGCTTTCCTTAACCTAATATCTAATATCTTCTTATTAACAGTACTAACATAAGTATGAATGAGTTGGATCTTAATATAGAATAATTGAGTTATTATATTTATATTTGTTCTAGATTGGGAAAAGTAAGTAATTAGACTTCATAGTCTGTGAATATACATATGAACATATATCTTGGGTTTTTCCTTTACATTCAAGCCACATATGAGAGCAATTAGCTATACCTTTTCCCCCATCCTCCCCCATCTATGTAAGAGATAAAGTTACACTCAGACTTTGAGAGAAGTAGATTGGAGGTTTTGTTTTAATACCTCTGTTGGTGTCAATTATCTTAGTGGGACTACAAGAGAATACCAACCCACTTTTAGGAGATGGTGGGGGCTGGATTGCTCTTTTAAGAGCAGAACAAAGACTTTTTAAGGACACTTTGCTAGAAGCCTTGATGCGACACACACACACACACACACACATATACATATATACAATCTTATTATCAAGAACTTAACTATATTTTTTGGACATTATTTAAACATTCTGTATGCCAATATTTTATTTCTAATTTTATGCAACATTATTATTAAATCATCTTTTTGAGTTTATGCAAGAAGTGGAAGGACTTTCTATCTGAACATTTCTCATCAATACAAGTTAATAAAATATCATTAGCATCTTTGTTACTTTGTGTAACCGAGTACTGGCTAAATTCACCCACACGACCAAGAGATATTTTAACAAAAAAAGCATTGGGTTTGTTTCCCCCTAAGGTGCAGAAAGCAGGGAATTGTGGGACATGTAGCCCGAGGAGTTGGATCTCAGCATGGAGCCGATGCTGCTGAAAACTACAAGGTCCAGCTGGCTGGAATGCTGGGAGAGGATATTTAGGGTGAGACCCAGTAGAAGCTCGCTCTTTTGGGACCATCGCTGGAGACTGAAACAAAGGCCCAGCTGCTCTGGAGAGTTCAAGCAGGCCTCGTGGTTGCTACAGCACAGATAACGGCCAGCACGAAAACTACATACCTGCAGGCAGATTTTCTGTCCAGCTCCTTGTCGATCGAGTGACTGTCCAGGATCACTTTCTTCATCTCCCGGACAAGCCAAGTTGAAGTTCAGCATCATCAGGTGCACAGATCAGGCCTTTCCCTCTGGGCCTGGAACCACTGAGAGTCTGTTCCAGGGTGTCTTCAAGATTAGTGAGCAGGCAGAGGCCCACACTGAGTTTCTGCTTTCCAGGACACTGCATGAAGACACCTTTATCTCATCATCTATGGCCACAAGGCCTCTTACAGGAAACACTATCTTGTGTTTTCCCTCACTGCTGGTCACCATTGCACAGCAATCCCCTTTGGGCCCTAATTGAGCTAGCTGAATATTCTGAGTCACATTCCATTGCCAAGGCTCTCCTTCCCTTTTTTTCCCTTTTGCCTTCTCTTAAAGAAAAGATATTTGTCAGGCCTGTGGCATCAGGGTTTTAAATGGAAGGATTGACACAGGAAAGTCTTCCTTTCCCCTTTCATGCCTGGGGTCAAAAGTTCTAAAGGTCTAATTGTATTTGCTGTTTGATTCACCTTTACTGTACATGTGTGATTTTGAGTCCCCAAGGACTAAACAGCTCATACCAAGAGTTAACCATCTTATTAATTTTTGTCTTTTTCTGTTGACTTGAAAGCTCCTAGTAAATATCCAAACACTTTACTACAATTTGGTATCATTGCAATTGTGATCCTGTGTGTACCATGTCTGAACTCAAGGTGTCAGAGGTGTTGGAGGGCTTGCAAGGTCAGGGCAACCTTTGGGGACCAACATCTTTCAATGGCCCCCACGGGGGTAGCGCTACATTTGTATTCCACAGTAACAGCCTATATTTTATAAGTAACCAACGACCTATATTTAGCCAGTACACACAGTTTTCTATGAACTTGAAATTGTGGTAACTTGTGATGGCATAAATAGTTAGTGTATTAACAGGTTATGCACACATTAGTTATGGTGCAGGCTATAAACTGGATGCTGGATGTTAATCTTTTTATTGCCCTGATTATCTATAAGTCAAATAAAATATGAAAACAAACCACTATATGAAAGGACAACATTTTAATGAACCCAGACTATAGTAAACCAAAGGCATCACACCTACACTATATTGCCAAAAGTATTGGGATACCCCTCCAATTTATTGGATTTAGGTGTTCCAATCACCTCCATGACCACAGGTGTATAAAATAAAGCACCTAGGCATGCAGACTGCTTCTACAAACATTTGTGAAAGAATGGGTCGCTCTCAGGAGCTCAGTGAATTCAAGTGTGATAGGTTGCCACCTGTGCAACAAGTCCATCTATTACATTTTCTTTGCTATTAAATTGGTCAGCTGTTAGTGGTATTATAACAAAGTGGAAGCATGGAACAACAGCTGCCACTAAGTGGTAGGCCACGTAAAATGACAGAGCGGGGTCACAATGTTAAAGCACACAGTGCGCAGAAGTCGCCAACTGTCTGCAGAGTCAATAGCTAAAGACCTTCAAACTTTGTGTGGCCTTCAGATTAGCACAACAACAGTGCGTAGAGAGCTTCATTGAATAGGTTTCCATGGCCAAGCAGCTGCATCTAAGCCTTTCATCACCAAGTGTAATGCAAAGCATCTGATGCAGTGGTGTAAAGCGATGTGATGAATCACACTTCTCTGTCTGGCAAGCCGATGGACATGTCTGGGTTTGACAGTTGCCAGGAGAACAGTAGATGCCTGACTCCATTGTGCTAAGTGTAAAGTTTGGTGGAGGGGGGATTATGGTGTGGGGTTGGTTTTCAGGGGTTGGGCTTGGCCCCTTAGTTCCAGAGAAGGGAACTCTTAAGGTGTCAGCATACCAAGACATTTTGGACAATTTCATGTTTACAACTTTGTGGGAACAGGTTGGGGATGGCCCCTTCCTGCTCCAACATGACTGCGCACCAGTGCACAAAGCAAGGTCCATAAAGACATTGATGAGTGAATTTGGGGTGGAGGAACTTGACTGGCCTGCAGTAAACCTGATAGAACACCTTTGGGATGAATTAAAGTGAAGACTGCAAGCCAAGCCTTCTCGTCCAACAGTAATGCCTGACCTCACAAATGCTCTTGTGGAAGAATGGTCAAACCTTCCCATAGACACACTCCTAAACCTTGTGGACAGCCTTCCCAGAAGAGTTTAAGCTGTTATAGCTGCAAAGGGTGGGCCAACTCAATATTGAACCCTATGGACCAAGACTGGGTTGCCATTAAAGTTCATGTGCGTGTAAAGGCAGGCGTCCCAATACTTTTGGCAATATAGTGTATATTGCAGCTCTTGTACTGCAAGGCCATCTGCTGGTAAAGTCTACTGCATTTGCCAATGCCAATGCTTAGACTTCTTTCTGCCAGGCAAAGCAAGCGGCAGCAGACTTGAGATCTCTCTGCTATTTTTAGGGGAGCATGTAGGAGATAAGAGACTTCTATATAGTCCAAGGAATTTCTATTTTCTTAGCACTGAAAGGTTCAAACAAATGGTTGATAGTAATGACGTATATTACTCACTCATCCTTGTGATCTTGGTAGTAATTGATGTCCTTGTTCCCAAGAATGGTCCTCCTTACAAACACAGAGAGGGCACTCCAGCTTATTACAATCACAGCCAACTCCAGCAGGTTCCACTTACTGCGGAAATACCCCCATTTAAGAGTTTTGATGAGTTTTCCCTGAGGACAGTATACAAACTGTTACATAGTTTTAAAGACATATACATTCCATTAACAATATTGAAGCCTTTGTGACAGCTGGAAGTTAATTTCCTTTTTAGCACACTTGTCATGCATAACCTCTATTAAAGCAGACTTTACATTACAATGCAAAGGGTCACGTACCTTGTAGACTTTGCTCCATGTAAAGAAACACAATTAAACAAAAAACATTAAAAAAAAGTAAAGTTAACTCACTTTACACTCCAGCTTCTGGCCCTGGCTTTCTCTAGGGTCTTAGGAAAGCTGATGGTTCCAAATCTTGCAAGAATGCTCCAGCACTGTGCAAGAGCATCTTCTCATGGGATTTGTGGTCCTTAGCTTTTCCAGGATCCCAGCAGAAGACCCGGAACATTATCCTCACTTAGGCAAGCCATGCTACATGACAAATTATTGTTTATTTCTGCTTATGCTGACTTTCTTTAAATTTAACTGTGCTCCTTTACATTGGGAGGAAGGTTAGGGGTCTATAAGATAGCATACCTTGAATTTTAACGTGCACAGTCAGGGCCCATTCACACTAGAGAAAACTCCTCTGCAACACTTGCGTTTTGGTGCGTTGTTTCAGCCAGCCCAATAAAATTATTGGGCTGCAACACACCTCAATGCACAAAAATTTAAGTCATGTTGCATTTGTTTGCAGTGCATTGTAGCTCGGGGTGTCCTGGAGCTGTTCAAAATGAATGCCACTGCTACACACCAATGTGTGCATCTTCTATTACTGCATTTTCAATACTCAAGCATGCAGCAAGTTAGGTCATATTTCTGCAAGTCCTAATCATAAAGTGACACTAATCTCCTTATTCTCCAACTGAACCTCACTTCCATTTATTTGGAATGAGAAGTGCACATTTATTGTGGTCATGTACACCATTCTAGGCACACTAAACGTCCCATAGTTTATAGTCCATCTTGGGAGCGAGCAAAAGAGGGTGTCTACGTTCTTATATAAAGGGGGACTATGGAGAATGAACATAATCTTCTAACAAGTCAAGTTGGAACACAACAGAAAAAAAGGATTTTGGAGATTTGTAGGAGGCTGAGAGCAATAGAAGGGACTTTTTAAAATTAAGAATGCATACCGAAATATAATTTTCTCTTTTTAAACCATAGTTTAGTGTCATTTTAATACTTGCAATGGGTCAATGATAAGTTGACCAGATTTTCCAAAATGAAATCTAGGGACACCCTACTGACTCCCCACCATTTTTATTGGGGTTGGGACTGTGGCAGAACTGTGGGATTGGATGTATTAGCAGCATGCAAGGCATGCCGTTCCAAATGTTAGATGTGGCCAGATTGTGATAACAATGGGAGGAGATTAAAAGGGCATGGTTTAATAACACCTGAGCCTACTTTGCTCTAGGCCAAGAGAGCAGACCGGGTGTGTACTGCATGCAGGGGCGGACTGACCATTGGGAAACTCGGGCACTGCCCGAGGGCCCGGGGTCAGTAGGGGGCCCCATGAGATGCCCCTGGTACCTTTTTCATAGGCTTTTTGAGTTTGGGCAAGGACACAGGGGCCCCATGATCCCCTATTGCCCGGGGGCCCCATGAGTTGTCAGTCCGCCCCTGACTGCATGTCAACGTCACAAGAAAGTGCAGGGCAGCCAATAAGTCACATCCTTACCTCCAGCAACAAAGTCTGCACAAGCCGAGCTGAAAAAGTTCATGCAGTGTTGGAATGTGACATCGTCAATAACCCCAGACACAGCAGACACATTCCAAATCACAGAAGTGTTGCTAAGATGGATTGACCTTCAGCCACCCAAGCTGGGTACACCATTATAAAAGCTGGAAAGAAATTGGGGATACATTCTTTAACCAAAGATGAAATTGGAGAAATTTTTTTCCTGGGGACTGTCCCTAGAAACCAGGGAGGTCTGGCCACCCTAGTCTTTGATTTAGAAAGAACTGAAGCCACTGAATCAATATAAGAGCCAAGTCACTATAAATTTTAGAAGGAGAGACCAGGAATAAAAAAAAATTTCTCTCATTACATGTTTTCTTGAACCTGAGCGAAATAAATGAACATAGTCTGTGTATAACAAAAGCATCAGAGAACCCTGTACATAGAAACAACTATGGTCAACCATTAGGGTTTCCACCTCATCCTTTAAAACTGAACACATATTAATGACACAGGTCCTGTGGCTAATTAAGGTGGTAATGAAACTCACTTAGTGCCTTATCTGCATTAAATTGGCCTCAGAACCTGTGTCATTAATATTTGTTCGGTTTAAAGGGATGAGGTGGCAACCCTATCAACCATACAAGTCATGAGCTATACAGATTACTGAACTTGTTGGTGTCACTCAGTCAGCCTTACCTGCACCACCATGTAGTATATAACAAAGAGGAAATAAATCACTTCTGCTGCAACAACAAAGATATGTAGGCCATCTGTGTATGGATACAGCCTGACACTTTGAAGATCAGCGTGAGTCATAAAGGTACCTTAGAGAGAAAGGTAAAGTTACTATTTTTTGTGCCATTATGTAAAGGATCAAAAACATACATCATTCATATATGGTAGGAAAGTGCAGCGCTAAAATAAATTCTATAATATCAAGTGGAACAGTTAAGTGCACCATATAAAGTGAAATAAAAATAGTCCATAAATATATTAATGTCCATGGGACTACAAGGCACAGCAGTCACGGTGAAGGACAAACTATGACATTGATCAAGTAAGTGAAATAAATATAGAAATATAGTACATAGATAGAAATTGTATTACTGTCTGTCGGACTACAAAGCACAGCAATCACGATGAAGGACATACTATGATATTGATCAAGTAAGCAAAATAAATATAGTAATATAGTCCATAGATATAAATTGTATTAATGTCCGTGGGACTACAAAGCACAGCAATCACGGTGAAGGATAAACTGATATTAATCAAGTGAGGGAATCCACCACCTCTGCCAGATGTAAACTCACCAGAAAGCTACTGGCAAATAGCATGTATGCACATCACATCAGGGAACCAAGAAACAGCCAGAAGATCTAACTTGAACCAGGGGCGGACTGACCACTTGGAAACTTGGGCACTGCCCGAGGGCCCGGGGTCAGTAGGGGGCCCCATGAGATATCCCTGGTACCTTTTTCATAGGCTTTTTTGAAGCCTTTCTTGAACTGCTCCAGCACAGGCAAAAATGAAGGTGGACCCTTTCCTAGGGAGAATAGCTCACCACAGGAGCCCCAAAATGGTATATAGTGCAGTATTTTATAACAGCATAAGTAAAATGATCCACGTGGGACAAAAACATGAAAAAGGTAAAAGTAAAGTACAGGGGCGGACTGACCATTTGGAAACTCGGGCACTGTAGGGGGCTCCATGAGATGCCCCTAGTACCTTTTTCATAGGCTTTTTTGAGTTTGGGCAAGGACACAGGGGCCCCATGATCCCCTATTGCCCAGGGGGCCCCATGAGTTGTCAGTCCGCCCCTGGGAAAGTACCAAGATGGCTGCCGCTCTGACCTTCGACAGCGTGACGTAAGCAAGTTTATTTGTTTATTTCCAGCGCTCACCTATATACAATATATACATCATTCATAATTTGATCTATTTATGTTCAGAATTTTTTTCAATAGATATTGTAATTAAGTAAAAAACTTTCAGGACATCTTTGTAATAGAAGCTCATTTAAAAAAGGCAGATACAACAAAAGCGGAAACTTCCAAACACTTGGCTAAATTTCTGTCCAGTAATCCCATAGCAGAAACTGTTGGCTGTAATAATGTTATTTTTTACAGTAGGTAACAAGCAGAGATAGTCTACAAAATTACTCAAATGTTTAATATCTCATTTTTTGATCAGGTGAGCATCATTTTACATGTAAATTTGTGAATGAATTTGATAGCACTGTAATATAATGTATATTCGGTAACAGTTTTTTTCTAAGGTTTTGTGGTAATTTAACAGCATTTATAGATTGTAAGCTCTAAGGCCCCATGTACACGGGACACTTCTGAACGATGGAAACTGACTGCTGGAAAACGTAGCTTAAAAAACATCTGTTTAGCCACGTTTGCATAATGCATTTATGTACGTTTGCGTTTAGAAGCGATTTTTTAAAGATAAGCACAGGAGAACCTCCCAAATGCCCAGAATGCTCTGAAAAGTGGTAAATTATTAACTATTTCAGACTGTTTCAGAGAAATACAGAGAGTAGAAGCAGAGATAGCAATATGTGTTGAGATTAGCTTAGGTGTGATTTGCTCATTAACATTTCTTTTGTTTCCAAGGGTGGGAAAGGTGTCTGGTGGAGAGAATCATTAAGGTCACCTGGCAGGGGGTCTTCATGAGGAATTTGAGGTGTGAATGGTCATTAACATATCTTTTGTTTCCAAGGGTGGGAGAGGTCCGAGGTGTGAATTGGTCATTTCAATGTGTGACAAGCTTGGTAGGAACATCCTGTGTTCAGTGTTTTGTCCATCTGAGTACCTTGAAAACGGTTTTGCATGCATTTTTCATGATAATAAAAGGCTCTGGACAGCATCGGGAACTGGAAGAGTTAAAAAAAAATTGCAAACGCTTATAAATGTGATTTTCCACATTTAGCCGCGTTTACAAGCATTTTGCGTTTGAAACGCTGATAAAATTGTCTGCTGAACGCAAGTATTCTGCGTTCACAAAAACAACTGTAAACTCAACTGCCTGTAAATGCCTGTAAACGAAGATGTGTACATGGACACATAGGAAAACATTAGGGAGAGTTCAGGGGCTGCTGAAAAAAAACGCTGAACAGCTCCTAAACATGAGTTTATCAGCTGCAGTGTACATGAGGCCTAATGAGCCGGCCCTCTGTTTCCTCTTGTACCAAATTGTATTGTAACTGTAATGTCTACCTTTATTTTGTAAAGTGCTGTGTAAACTGTTGGCGCTATATAAATCCTGTATAATAATAATAATAATAGTTAGGCTATATAAACCCAAGATCAAAATGTAATACAATGCAGCTTACAGGCCTTAGACGTGGTGGATGCACTGATTTTCTTTAAGGGTCCTTTCACGCGGGTTGTTTGCATTGTGGTCAGCACAGGATCCATTCACAGATCCCCTGCTGATAAGAGCAGAGCAGGTTTATGACAGGTCCATGTCTGCTCAGTTTATGCAGAGTGGACACAGACAGAAACTAGTCTATGGGCGACAGGGAGGAAATGGACTCTGCTGTCTGTTTACAACAGGCTGCCACTGATCTGGTGCACCCAATCAAAAGAGGACGCAGTCCTTCACCACTTTTTTTTCGAGAGCCTGATTGTTGAAGTTGGAAAGTGTAAACGGAATTGTGTCTTTTTTACACCTGCCAACTTCAGGGTCCATTCATGTACTTGCATAGACCATCCTATTAGATCTGCCTTAAAACTGACAGATGGAGCTGATCGGATCACTCATGTGATCCTGCCAGTAACACAGTTCTATTCCAAGCAGGGATGGACTGACAACTCATGGGGCCCCCGGGCAATAGGGGATCATGGGGGCCCCTGTGTCCTTGCCCAAACTCAAAAAAGCCTATGAAAAAGGTACCAGGGGCCTCATGGGGCCCCCTACTGACCCCGGGGCCTCGGGCAGTGCCCAAGTTTCCAAATGGTCAGTCCGCCCCTGATTCCAAGGCAACAACTTTCACTCACAATGGAGGAACAGCAATGTCACCCCATGGGCTCTTTTACAGTTGTGGTTGGGGGTGGTAAAAATGCACAGTTGAGATGTTTTTATTGCTCTCCAGCCACTCCCTCTTAAACTGCAGACAGAATTGTACACATGTCGCTGCATAGATTAAACCACTGTTGTGTTCAGGAGGTACTACCGCCCATCTAACATGATCCATTCAGGTGAAAGGGGATTGTACTGCAACCACATGCATGGTACATGGACACAGACAAATAAAAAGCTGTTTCTTCAGAATTACAACATTTACATGTTTATCTTGAAGGCACTCTCCTAAAGCCAAACATGGTGACAGGAGGACAATCTTGCTCTCAAAAATGTACACTTGAGCAAGTCGGTATGTCAACTGTTACTGCTCTGAGACAAACGGTCCCTTCTGCAGTCCCAGAGGTCCACCTTCCCTTTGCCTGTGGCCACGGGAGGACTGACCATTGGGGAACTCGGGCACTGCCCGAGGGCCCCGGGGTCAGTAAGGGGCCCCATGAGATGTCCCTGGTACCTTTCATAGGCTTTTTTGAGTGTGATTTGAGTGTGGCCGAGGACACAGGGGCCCTATGATCCCTTTTTGCCCGGGGGCCCCATGAATTGTCAGTCTGCCCCTGCCTGTGATCTTTTGGCCGTTTTGGCTCCTTGATATGATCTACATATATGCTATTTACCAGTAGCTTTCTGGTGCGTTTACATCTGACAGAGGTGGTGGATCTCCTCACTGGATCAGAATCACAGTTTGATTTTCACCGAGATTGCTGTGACTTGTAGTCCCACGGACACTATTATCCATTTATATTTAATGGACATTTTTGCATTTCCATTGTATTCATTTCACTTTGTATGGTGCACATAATTGGTGCACTTGACATCACTTAATATATAAGCGCTGCACTTTTATACCATATATTTTACAGGTGTTGTTACCTGTGCCTTTTGTGCTAGCAGCTTTTCACTGATTTGTTTCTAGCGCTCGCCTACATACAATATATTTACATGCATGGATATGGTTGTGGTGCAGCAATTATGGGGTTAAAACAGGCTGGTCAGTAGGCGACATGTTGCCTTTTCACTGCCTGTCAAACACCACTAAAAAGCAATCTGACTGCGGATCACTTTTCAGATGCACACCAGTGACAGCCACATGTATAAACTAGGCCTAAGGCAGGACTACAGACAGCCTCTTCTCCATAACATGGTTGAGGTTCTATGGTCTCAACACTTTCTGATAATATTGATTGAGATAAGATTGCAAGAAATAGAACAATACTGGATTTCTGGCCAGACAACAAGTATGGTTTAGGGGCTGGTTCAAAGCACAATTTCTGTGTTCTGAATGTGTTTCTGCATGCGCATTTTTTATGCATTCCAGTGCGTTTTCCCCCTCTTTTTTTATTGAGGATCTGTGCATTCCGGTGCATTTTTTGTGTTTTGATACGTTCCAGATGCATTCCATACAGAAAAAAATGCAACATTTTCTGCTTTTGTTGACTGCACTGGAACGCACTGCACTGGTATGAACTAGGGCCATTGGAACACATGCAAAACGCTGTCCATGCGTTTTTGAACCAGCGTAAAAATGCACTGAACTGCATCTGGTGTGAACCAGCTCTAGACTTCTTCTACCGATATAACAAAATGCTTTCAACAGTACATTTAACAGTCCAAAAAGGATCAAGTATGAGAAGTTGATTATTAGGGTTTACATACTGTATACTTCCAGACAGATGTGTTGTTAGGCTGATAAAACCTTAAAATCCTCTTACGGTTGCACCTACCTAATGCGTTGGTCTCAAACATTAGCCGGACAATGCAGAAGAGGTTGACATTGGCATTATAAATGGTAAATTCTACAAAAAGAGCCCTAGTGAGATCATCCAACCAGACATTGTCGAAAAGGTATTGCAGAATCCTGCAAAGAGAAAAAAAAAACCCATTAGGACATAATTGTACAGCAGAATGTTAAACAGAGGAACATTGTTTGTTCTCTTTCTGCTCCACCGCCAACAACTGAAATCCTCTCATTCCTGCTGTGTTTTAGCCTGCTCAGCTGTAGCCAGAAAAACGATTTATTACTAAAATGCTAGGATGGAGTAACAGTTTGCATAATTCAAAGTATGAGTAATTGCATGCAATACTTGGCAGGGTGTTTTTGGCCTTATATGATTATATGTGTCAATCTAGCTGACCAGACTTTGGCCTATACAACGCAAATAAAATATAAATAAGTAGACATTTACCCAAACAATAATCTTAGTGTAGTGCAATAAATACAGGAATTAGTTCCACCAAAAAGAACCCTGTGGGGTTATCTCAAATTTGGTCCATGGGGGTCCATGCATCAACCTGCTTAGTCCAAAGAGATATTAATACCCCTCCATATACTAATTTGACCAATAGTATACCATTTGAGGTAGGTATTATAAACATAGATACAGTGACAACTCTTGTGACTGTCCCAAAATAAAATATTGGGAAGGCAAAAATTCCAAAATGTAAAAAAAAAATAAAACAAAAAACCATCAAAAAATCAAAAGTGACTGTGGACTTCACCGCGCGCTCATATACATGAAGTGTGGATGACTCACTCACCAGATACTTGGACCCCAGTTATGGTGGTCAAATGTGTCTTTGGTTATATAGGGAACCACCCTCTCTTGTTGGATTCTCCATTTTTCTCCCTCTAAATCTCCATGGATTATAGCCAGATATAAGGGATTCCAATAGGTTTCCAATGATAAACTTTATAGTTGGTTTTAGATATTCCTCCCACGGGAATGCAGCCGGCTTGTACAGGTGCTTGTAAACCAGCACCAGTGTTTCAGGCATATACAGTGGGGATCGAAAGTTTGGGCACCCCAGCTAAAAATGTGTATTAATGTGCATAAAGAAGCCAAGGAAAGATGGAAAAATCTCCAAAAGGCATCAAATTACAGATTAGACATTCTTATAATATGTCAACAAAAGTTAGATTTTATTTCCATCATTTACACTTTCAAAATAACAGAAAACAAAAAAATGGCGTCTGCAAAAGTTTGGGCACCCTGCAGAGTTAATATCTTGTACTGCCCCCTTTGGCAAGTATCACAGCTTGTAAATGCTTTTTGTAGCCAGCCAAGAGTCTTTCAATTCTTGTTTGAGGTATCTTTGCCCATTCTTCCTTACAAAAGTTTTCCAGTTCTTTGAGATTTCTGGGCTGTCTGTCACGCACTGCTCTTTTACGGTCTATCTATAGATTTTCAATTATGTTGAGGTCAGGAGATTGTGAAGGCCATGGCAAAACCTTCAGTTTACGCCTCTTGATGTAATCCCCCGTGGATATCGAGGTGTGTTTAGGATCATTATCCATTTGTAGAAGCCATCCTCTCTTTAACTTCAGCTTTTTAACAGATGGCATCAAGTTACCATCCAAAATTTGCTGAAATTTTATTGAATCCATTTTTCCTTCTACTTGTGAGATGTTCCCTGTGCCACTGGCTGCAACACAACCCCAAAGCATGATTGATCCAACCCCATGCTTAACAGTTGGACAGAGGTTCTTTTCATTAAATTCTGTGCCCCTTCTTCTCCAAACGTACCTTTGCTCATTCCAGCCAAAAAGTTAAATTTTTGTTAGTTAAGTCCTCTGAAACTGGTTTCTTTCTGAGATTAACTGGACTACTGCCTTTTTATCACTCTGACACACCCTTACCCAATGGAATGAGCAACACCAGATTTCGGATAATACTGGGTGTATTAGTATCAGATTGTTCAATTAAAGCAAGGTAACACAGATCTATGATCAGATGCTATGACAACTGTTTTTATAGTACTTCTACACCGAAATTGCATACCAGGGAACAACACCAGTGGTAACTGGGACCAATTTTCCCCGTATATACAGGGTCCCTAAGAGTACAGTAAAGACAGCTTGACCAAGGATGATATAAACACCTAAAGGCTATACTTCCATTTGACTCTGACATAACCTTGCTAGGTCCAAGTCTGCCTGCCGGACTTTACAAGAAACAAGACAATCCCCAGTGGAAGAAAAAAAATAAGTGATGAAGTCTATGCAAAATACTGTGAGACAGAATAGAATGGTCTCGATAATGGTTATCCCTGCCGGCTTTGTTGGGGCCCTTATAGTGGCGCACAAATGGTAATGCTTGTGGTTTCTGGCCGCTCTCAGTTCAAGAATACTAATTATTAAAGAGGTGTTTGATGAAAATATTTTGCAGAAGAACATAAACAGGTGTAAAGAATGCAAGAAGTTCAAGGAAAAGTAATAAAAATATTCTGGATCAATGGGACAATCCTGAGGAGGGGATGGTGTGGCAGTGCTCAGTGGTAGACTAAGCAGATAAGAAAATGCCTAGGGAACAGGAGGATAAGGCTGTGTAAGGCTAAAGTCTCAATCTCTGCTGTACAGCGTGTGTAATGGGTTGATAACCATCTCACCAATCCTGCGCTTCAGTCCTGGGATGCCGATAACGGAGGAGCTCCCTGTGGATCGATAGCTTGAGGTCTGGTGGACCTACTCTGCAATGCTGAAGATGCAGACAAAGGCCAAGGAACCCCCAGTATGATGCAGGAGAAGACCGGCTAACCCACACTAGAACACTGGGGTGCTGCCATTTAAGCACTGCTAGAAGCGGGTTCATTGAGAGCCCAGCATCCTAGCCTGGGCTTCTGCTTAATTCCTCCGCCTGATGCCAAGTGCCCCAAACCTCTGCAAGCAACTCACTCAGCTCCCCTCCACTCGCCTCTCTGGGAACTGTAGTTTCCTCTCTGCTGTAATGTAGTGCCACCAGTACATAATTTAACTATACCTCCCATAGTCCCTCTCTTTAACTCCTCATCTCCTGCTTGCTGCATCTTTTGGGTATGTTTTTAAAAAACATTACATTATAGTCAACGGCAGTGTAATGTGCATGCAAAATGCACATAAAATGTATATTGCATTGCTGGGTAGCACAGTGGCTAAATGGTTAGCACTTCCCCCTGGCAGTACTAGGGCCGTTGGTTCAAATCCCAACCATGGCACCACCTGCCTGGAGTTTGCACGTTCTCCCTGTGCCTGCGTGGGTTTCCTTCGGGTACTCCGGTTTCCTTCCACATTCCAAAGACATGCTGGTAGGTTAATTGACTTCTCTCTAAATTGGCCCTAGTATGTGTATGTATGAATGTGAGTTAGGGACCTTAGATTGTACACCCCTTGAGGGTTAGGGACTGATGTGAATGTACAATATATATGTAAATTGATGGCGCTATATAAGTACCTGAAATGAATAAATAATAGTCACATTTTAACACAAACACATTAAAAACATGCTGTAAATGCATTGAAGAAAACACATACGTTTTCTAACATGGTGGTGTGAATGGGCCCTCTGTCTTAGACTTGAGCTTACAGGGAGGGTATAATGAGGGGATAGGGCATTTCCATCAGCAACCTAAGCTATGCAATGAAATCTACCATCACCAAGCTCCAGGCATTGAAAGCGGCTGTGATCCAAGAAGCATTTTACTTTAACATTATAATGGAGAGATCATGACACGACTTGCTCATGGACTTGATGGAGGTCCCCATCATACTAAATTAATTCAAATTACCTAACTTACAGGTAATCACACAAAATAATTAGTCTATGATTTACCAAGTAATGTGCATGTGTGTTGTTTCAACAAATTAGGGAACAACCCTATAATTTGAAGCTATAATTGTATTACATTTTGTAATTCTAATATGGAGGTGGGACTGAACTCCTTACCCTATAGTCACTGGTATCATTATCTTTCATCCTGCTCAAGCCCTACTTTGTGTCATCCCCTGGGGTCCTGATGTCGAACATTGAGCTTACTTAGCACCCCCACCCAGTGGTGTATTTAGGTTTTGTGCTAGGCAACACAAAAATCGGACGCCCTCCCCGGTGGAGAGAGCCGACACTGACCAACACCAGCCCCCACCACTCGAGAGAGCCTTCCGTTAAACCCACCCCCGCCCCCCAGCGACAGAGAGAAAGACACTAACCTTCACAGCTATGGACATCCCTGGGAACGACAATCACGCTCTGCATACAGCATCAAGCAGCCCGCAACATCTCTCGGATCCCACCTGGTCCCCATGCAGCATATTCCCTATCAGTTCTGCCCCCCTAAAAAATACCGCCCTAGGCAAATGCCTTGTTTGCCTTGTGGTAAATACGCCCCTGCCCCCACCCCACTGCACATTAGCATACAAGCAATTAACATGAATATAAGCTTTTATTAGGGTAATAAAGACACTGCTACTACCTGTGGATCCTGCCCAGCAACCCTCTGACTTCAATGTCAGCATCATAGCCTTGCCTGGGCCTAATTCCATGGACCAACTAGTAGAAAGCAAGTCCATGATCCTTCAGATTTCAGAAAAGATCTCACAAAACACCACAACCCAAAAATTCCTTGCCATGTTTTGTGCCAGCAGCTCTTAATCGAAAAGCTGGACTAATTTTTTAGATGTTGTCTATAACATTTAGTTACCTGTGAAGTGTTTTATATAATTTATTAATAACACCTAGCAAAGGAAAATTTCTTCTTGGTTACATAGGCAAACTATCAACTGTTTAGATTGAGTATGTTCCTAGAGCATCTAAATCTCATTAAGTTACAATGCCAAGATTCACTGAAAGGTGAATGTGAAATTGTGGCCTCTGATAAAATTTGGGAGATTTAGGAATAGGCCCACATTATTTTACTACAAAGAAGAGTCAGGCAAAACATTTTAAAGCAGAATTCCGGAATGAATATTTCTACATTGGTCCAGCTTGGAGCAATGTAAATTTGTATATGTCATATCTGTAGCATCGCTGTAGAAACTGGAAATCAATGTAGTATGCACTGCTACTGCAGTGATCTCCAATGGCTATTGATCCTGTGCAGGGGTGCCAATCAGAGATCATTTTGCATTCTCTCAATGAATGCAGAGCATTCTCTGATTGGAAGAAGTGGAGAGGCGGGCAGTGACGTCACATTCTCCACCTTGTCCAATTAGGGAATGTTTTGCATCCGTTGAGAAAATGCAAAGCATTCTCTGAATGGCCCACAAAGTCCAAAAATGCTCCCGATTGGTCCATACTACTTTTGCCCTGATATAGTCTGGGTGCTGATCCGGTTCGGAACCGCATCATATGGAGAAAAACCTAAATGGATGACTACTGCACACCAATGCCATTAAAAGCCAAGTTTTTTTTTAATTGTAATCCAAAAGTCCTAGACAACATCAGAGCAATAACAGGAAAAAGGTTTCATGTTTGATGGCGTTTAGTTGTGATAGTCATGACTATGACACAGACATGGCATTGTGCGATCATCCATTTAAGTATATCTTCAGTTTTTGAATGACACCGGTGCCAAGCTGATGTCCCCCTGTGTTAACAATGCAGCAGGACAGTTGCTCGTCATGGGAAGCAAGTTTGGATCAGTGGAGTAGCGGTGTCTACTACAATGTTTTCCAGAGGGATCCTACATGTTATATGCATAATTACATTGGGCCAAGCTGGATCAATGTAACTATGGAAAAAATATCCATTCCTGGAATTCTTCTTTAATCTACGTACCCATTTAATAACTAGTTAAATTTATTAAAGAAAAAACAAGAAACAAAACACCACTAAGGTAAAATGTTGGTGTTGCTCATGACATCTGGTAGGTGTTCAAATTGTCACTTTCATCCTATGGAGTTAAAGTGATATTAAAGGCATTAAAAAATAAAAAATTACAAACATGTCATACTTTCCTGCTCTTTGTAGTGGTTTTGCACAGAGCAGCCTTGATCCTCCTTATCTTGGGTCCCCTACCGGCGCTCTTGGCCCTCCCTCCTGCCAAGTGCCCCCAGAGCAAGCAGCTTGCTACGGGTGCACCTAAGCAGGCTTGCTCCAGAGCCGTTGCTCTGCATGTCCATTCACACACAGAGCTGCAGCCCTGCCTCCTCTCTCTCCTTGTTGGCTCACTGGCTGTGACTGACAGCAGCGGCAGGCAAAGGCTCGCATTGATATCCTAGCCAATGATGGGGGAGAGTCCCCAGAGAGTTGAGGCTCTTGTGCACATCGCTGCACTGGGAAGGAGCTCAGGTAAGTATTAGGGGGGCTGCACAGAGAGGGTTATTTTACCTTCATACATAGAGCGCATGAAGGTATAAGCCTTGAGCCTTTACAAACTACTTTAAAAGAAACACTGCCAGGTCTTGCATGCAAAAATGCATATGCTTAAGTTCATCTTCATTTTTTCCTTTGCTGCTTATTATGGCTGTTGTTTCTTATGTCTTAGGTTATGATGCATGATTATGGTTGGAAAAAGTATTAGAGGAGAAAAAACCCAAAACTATAGGTCATGTTTTCTTGGATACTAGGTCAGTGTCAGGGTTCTGTCCACAGCAGAAGTTCTGGAAGATCTGGCATTTCTGCCAGTACTCTGCATGGCCGCAGAAGTACACATCAGCCTCAGTTTGGTACCAGACGGCCTTTATAAAGAGGCTCATCACTTCCTCAAGTTGCTGGATGATCTCTAGCTCCCCGTGCCCTGTTCCTGTTTCCTGTGATTCTGACCTGTGATTTCCTGTTACCAACTTGGCTTGCTCCTGGACCTGTCTACTCTGCTTTACCCCTGATCTGACCTCGGCTTGGCTTACGGATACTGTCTCTCGCTCCTCTGTGTATGACCTCGGCTTGGCTTACGGATACTCTCTCTCTCGCTCCTCTGTGTATGACCTCGGCTATCCCATCTGACTACGTCTGCTCTGATTCCCACCTGGTACCTGACCTTGGCTTGAACCAACTTCCCAGTAAACATCTAAATCCCTGAAGGGCTTACATACCACGCACAGGCGCCTCCTGTCTGCAGACCTATCTCCGTGCACCAGCTGTGGGTCTGAGTGGACCACCAACCAGCACTCCTACAGGCGACCTGTGCAACTTTGGACCAGACTCCCGCTGTCCCACTCTCAGGGGAGTCCGGAACGTAGCCGCAAGGGAAGGCCTCTCTCTATTGGCCTCCATCACCAGGTGCGTGATAGTCAGGCTACTTTTTTAGCAGTCTTTTGAGACTCCTGTTTATCTTTGCCATGTCTACATAAAGATTAAGCATTTATTTTTTTCTATAGTGCTTTCTTCTGCTGGCTGTCTCTGTTTTTTCACCCTGACAAAATTAGGTGTGAGCCCTTGACTTTTTGGATGAATCTTCACTCAGGATGTAATAGGACATCTGGAGCAAAATAATCAAGAAATCTCAGGATTGGATTTTCCCTAAGCAAAATGTAACTGTTTTATGTTTGCATGTAATCCATCAACCAAATTAATCATTGCTCTGATTGTAGACATTCTTTAAGTAAAAAAAAAAAACTTAGGACAATACCTGCGTGCAGTTGTTCTATCGCTTCCTAAATGTACTACAAAACCCCCTCCGCGGTATGTTGACAGTCGACCCCAGGTAGGGTGGCCTCTAAGCTTGGACTGACTTTTGTAGTACCAGGCAGAATCAGTATTAGTTGCATTGGTGAATGCAGAGGAATTCCAGCCTTCCCCATAATGTTCCATATCCTCATTATCCAGGGAATAAGGTGCTCGACATTCATCGATCGTTCTCTGGAGGACAGAAGCTACTGGGCAAGAGTCCTTCTTGACTCGCAACTGGCGAAACCTTGCACTGCCAACCAGCTTGGAGTTGCCATCCGTCACAAAGCCTGTCCCACGTCAAACAAAGAAATATATATCATAGAAATGTAATACATTAAAAATTATATACAATATTGACTTTTTCACATATATATATTTTTTTTAAAGAGGAACTGTGCCCACATAGAGGCAGGCAGAGGTCAAAGGACTAGTCACCAGTATTGGCAGTGGTTATTTTTAACAAGGCAGCGATCCCACTGAGGACTTCTATGAGGACAAAACACATAGGGGTTTATTTACTAAACTTGAAAAAGAGTGCAAAATGAGGCTCACGTCTGCATAGAAACCAATTAGTTTTCAGGTTTAAATGCCAAAGCTTAATTGAACAAGCTGAGGTTAGAAGCTGATTGGTTTCTATGCAGAAGTGAACCTGATTTTGTACGCTCCAACTTTAGTAAATAAACCCCATAGGGTCGGGGCTTTTGCTCTGACATCATTGTGCATACATACATACATACACTGTTGAATATTTTCCCTCCATGAGTAATAATAGATTTAAATAAACCTTGGTTGTATAGAAGGTAACGCACTATGGTTCCTCCATTTCCTTTGTCTTTATGGTGAAATGGGGCCTATGCTCTGTTAATCCAAGGAACCTGTTTACTAATGGCTCATGTACATGGGGCGTTTGGAAAACTCTTCTGAATGATGGAAACTGACTGCTGGAAAACGTAGGTTAAAAAACGTCAGTTTAGCCGCGTTTGCATACCGCGTTTATGTGCATGTGCATTTAGAAGGATTTTTAAAAGATAACCTCAGGAGACCTTCCCAAATGCCCAGAATGCACTGAAAAATAGTAAAAAATTAACTATTTCAGACATTTTGAGAGGAATAGAGAGAGCAGAAGCAGAGAGAGCAGTATGTGTTGAGATGACCTGTCTTTTCTGGTTGTATTCATTATGGATCCCATCATGAGCATAATGCAGCACGTTCTAGCATTTTTTCCTTCACACGAAACCTGAAACTGATTGCGCTGGTGTACCGGGTCCATTTGAATACATGGAAAACACTTTGCATGCATTTCTGATGATGAAAAAAGGCTCTGGACAGCATCTGGATATCGAACAGTTAAACGCTTCTAAACGCAAACACTTATAAATGCGGTTACAAGCGTTTGAAATGCCGGTAAAATCTACTCCTGAACGCAAGTTTGGTGCTTTCAAAAAAATGTCTGTAAACTCAACTGCCTGTAAACGACTGTAAATGACTATGTGTAATGGACACATAGGAAAACATTAGGGAGAGTTCAGGGGCTGCTGAAAAAAACACTGAACATCTCCTGAACGTCAGTTTAGCAGCTGCAGCGTACATGAGCCCTAAGGATTGCTGGGGTAGAACTATATGTGAACAATAGGGAACAAGGCTGAATTTATTAAGGGCATGTGCCCTGACGAGTGGTAAGGATATTTTACTTTCATGGTACAGTATGTATGACAAGTTTTTTCAAAGTGTTGTGAAAAAAAATCCTCTACGGGTGAACTAAAACCAACCATTGGAAAAGTTTTAGCTAAAACATCTTCTGTTCTTAAGAAACTGACATGTTCCTTGCCACATCCTTTATCAAACTGACTGCTAAGTGGAATAATCTGCCTGCAATCTCTGTGCTAAAATAATAAAAAGAACATCATCTACATCCCATTAGCCATGAAGAAGATTAGGAAGTATTTTAGCAAAAAATAAAACTCCCATTGCAAGTGATGTTTCTAATCTGACTTCAAACTATGGTGTCCGTTTATGACACACAGAATAGCTGCAATTCAGAGGATCACAGCTATTCTCTGGTCATTCACAGTTTATGACACCCAGGAGAACTGTTCAGCTCTTCACTGGAGATCTGTGTTCTCCCTCCAGATTCTCCAGCCCAGAGCTGGAGAATCGGAGGGACCGCAAACTAAGCAGCGATAATTTACCTCTGCTTAGTAAACTGATCTTTTACTGTAATATTGCGTGATTATAGTAAAATCAGCCGTTTCCCAGCGTTTGTAGATCGTTCTCCCTTCGTTTGGAGAACTGATCTACATATGCTTCATAAACGGCATTCACAGGAGAACTGTGTTCTCCGAGAATGCTGGAGAACTGAGCAGCGATCATTTACTGCTGGTTCATAAATGGACACCTATGTGCAAAAACATCTTGAAAAAGAAGCATGCCAATCACACAAGCAAAATATGCAATATATGGGGGTGTTCCATACTCAAATAGTGCGTTGAGCGCCCTTGGTTGCCATTTTAATAGAGGGTGCAAATAAAACCTATCAATGCAAATTGTACCTGGATAGGTTCCATAGAGGTTATTGATGAGGGTAGTGTTGGCCCAGTTAAAGAAATCTTGGTAGCTGCAGACTCCCCCCCCATTCCATCTGTAAAACTGTCCCCTATGTGCTTATTAAGGTAGTATGAGTTTGGATCTCTCTGTCCATATGCCACTAGTAGAAGCATCCACAGGTATCCTAGGTAGGCTGAAAGACAAATGCAATCGAAACACAATACAATACAGTCACATACATTTTCAAACTCAATTTAAAGCTGAAGTTTAATCTGCCCCCCCTGGTTTCTCTCTTCTCTTTCAGTAACACGACAATTCATTTTCATTTAATTACAACTTTCCTCTTTCATTAATACCTTATTTTAGACCCAGTGATGTCATCACTGGGTCTCTGTGCTTTTCTGTGCAATGCAGGCAGGTCATGCCTGGTCGGAGGGACTGGCAGGGTGCTGTACAAGGTTTCCTGAAAATATCTCTCTGTCTCAGTACTGCTCTCAAGACCTCTCAGCTCTGATGCAAGCAGTGGACTGGCTCCTGAGAGGAGCAATGCAAACATCAAAATGTCTTGATGGGTGGATATTAATCTGGAGGAGCTGGGATGTCTGATTTTAGAAATGCTGTGCAAACTGTGTAGGGACTAAAAGCACAGACCACAAGCACTGAGTTGCCTGGCTCTTTAACAAGGTGAGCCCTTTCTATATTGGTGGGATCATCTAGTTATCAGTTACTGATATACAAGCACAAAAATTCTCATTTAAACTATGCTGTCAGAATTGTCTAATATTATTATTATTATTACACAGCATTTATATAGCGCCAACAGTTTGCTCAGCGCTGTACATTACAATGGGAGACAATACATGAGACAGTACAGTAACAAAACACGATAAAATACACGAGGGGTTCGAGGGCCCTGCTCCTTACAATCTAGGAGGGACGGGAGAGATGGGGAATTACTGATATCCTTAGAAGTGAAGTTGTAATATTCTTAGATTTAGGTCTGACAATATAAGGCTGGAGTTGAGAAAAACCAAAGCTGACCGGCTTTGGTTAATAGTTTTTTTTTTTATACTGACAGGGAGAAAATAGTGATTTTGGAGATATAATATATGCCACATTCATATAGGTGTACCAATCCATATGCCCATGCAAAGGGCTGTCTTCAACCCAGGGCTGCTGTTAGAAACCACAGGGCCCCATACAGCCAACCTGACAGGGCCCCATCAAATAAACACTATGCGGCAGTTATGAATGAACACCATGAGTGATCGGGAATTACTGATATCCTTAGAAGTGAAGTTGTAATATTCTTAGATTTAGGTCTGACAATATAAGGCTGGAGTTGAGAAAAACCAAAGCTGACCGGCTTTGGTTAATAGTTTTTTTTTTATACTGACAGGGAGAAAATAGTGATTTTGGAGATATAATATATGCCACATTCATATAGGTGTACCAATCCATATGCCCATGCAAAGGGCTGTCTTCAACCCAGGGCTGCTGTTAGAAACCACAGGGCCCCATACAGCCAACCTGACAGGGCCCCATCAAATAAACACTATGCGGCAGTTATGAATGAACACCATGAGTGATCGGTACCGATCACTCATTGTGTTCATTCAGTAAAGGAAGGGCTGGAAAATTTGACATATTTAATGAACACTTACCCCATTCTCCATCCTGAAGGATCACATCGTGTGCTTGCAGCTGACATTGTGAAGGAGAGGAGGAAATCCAGCAGCACTGCTGGGGTAAGGTGGGTACACAGAGGGGCCTGGGCAGTAGAGGGAAACGTATGGTGCACAGGGAGGGTGATTGGCACAGTCGGGGTAATTACTGGAACTGATCCCCTGTACGGCTTCCTTTGCAGCAGCTGAAAGCCGGGGGGAGGGAGAGGAGAAGAAGCCAGGTTTCAGCTGCTGCAGAGAGAGCCATACAGGGGATTGGCTCCAGTAATCCCCTCCCCCACCAACACTGTACCAATCACCCTCCCTTCCCACATCCAATTCACCCAGCTGCCTGGGGCGCCCTCCTTGCCTGGGGCCAGTACAGTAGGACCGGTGGTACTCCCTTATCCACGGCCCTGCTTCAGCCATCCAGGATGCACGGGTCTTCCATGTAGGGGCGTGCAGGCAGCCTGTTGAAATCAATGGCAAACAGCCAGCTGCATGTTACATTCGTGTGTAAGGAAATGCATAGAGTTCATTGTGGATAACTGCTTCTTACAAAAAGCTGGTATGGCCTTCAGAATGTCATAGAAATACATATGTATATCTATCTGCCAAAAAACAGTAGCTTTCATTCATTTCCTTGTTTGCAAAGAAAGTGATCCTATTTGTTCTGTGCTCAGATCTTACCTAGTATTTCTCTTATTAAGGCAAACACTTTTTGCTCTTTGATATAGTTATCCTTCATCTTTGAGATATCGCTAGGTGGGGGAGGCTGGTAAATGTTGCTGTCTCTGCGAGATTCCAGCAAAAGGTTTGAATCACCTGTGGATACAAAATAAATACAGATATAAATGTTGTCATACAGTTGTAACACCCTCCAGGTTAGTTAGGTAGCATTTTGTTAGAGGCTGAGTAGCAGCCTGGGGATGAGTCAGCCTGGGGAGAGAGGTAGTGAGGTTACCTCAGGACAGGCTGGGAAGCTCTATTCAGCGCTTTTGGAGCCCTCCCACATCTCCAGAAATCTGAGAGCTTTCTGGAAGAGGGGTGGGGAGAGGAGGAGGCCAAGATCTGCATGTTTGAGGGACTCTGGCCAATCCCCTGGCAGGAGGCTGGGCATGGTGACCAGGGCAACCCTCAAATGGGGCAGAGCCTGGGGAGAGATGTGGAGTGTTGGGTGGAAGATGGATTGAGGATGGTTGGAGTTAGGAGCCTGGGAGGTGGCCTCAGTGAGGGGAGTCCACCTACAGGCAGGTCGCTGGAGAAAAGGATCTCCACTGCGTCAATGTCTCCTGGGAAGGACAGCCTGTGTAGCAGGGAAGGAGCCAGCCCAGCCTAAGGCCTAAAGGTAGCCACCAACCCACTAAGCTAACATGAGAGGACAGTGTGAGTACTCTTACACCCCCGGCCAGATAAGGGGAGAGGGTGGTCAGATGCAATACCCAACTTTCTCTGCTGGGACTGTTCACTTGGCAGCTCTTGGGCCCCTTTGCTCAGGCATACCTTCAGGCAGCTGGGTGAAGAAAGGGAAACATCCAGGAGCCTTTAGTGCTCTTCAAGAAGAGACTGTTTCTAATCTTTGTACATAATTGCTAAGGAGTCCTCAATTTCTACCATTCCACAGGCATTGCATATAGCCCTAGACCCTATCCACGTTTAGCCCCTCAATAAAATCATGGCTGAGTTGCTGTTGTTCCCAGTTGCTTCCACTTTGTTATAATACCACCCACAGTTGACCGTGGAATATTTAGTAGCAAGGAAATTTCAAGGATGAACTTATTGCATAGGTGGCAACCTATCACGGTAACAAAACTTGAATTCACTGAGCTCATGAGAGGGACCCGTTCTTTCACAAATGTTTGTAGAAGCAGTCTGCATGCCTAGGTGATGATTGTATACACCTGTGGCCATGGAGGTGATTGGAACTTCTGAATCCAATGGTTTGGAGGTGTGTTCAAATACTTTTGGCAATATAGCGTAGTTTAAAGCCCAACTCCAGAAAACCTAAAAATCCTCCCACTGAAAAGGTCTGACTGTTCCTATATTAGCGAGAAGCACTTTTACTTACCTGATCCACTGCCCCCCTGACAGACCTTGATCCCCTATGCTATAGCAGTGGACTGTCCCTTGGCGTCCTCACGTCCAATGTAGGGCTATAGTACACTCTAGCATGTGGAGAAGAGGCTGTCGGGACTGGTCTAGCAATGTGGAGGAGTCTGCAGAAATGGAGGATAGTGTAACTAAAACTGCTTTAGTAAATCGCCTAGACAGAAACTAGAATTTAGCAATTGCAGTGCAGGTGCAGCCCCACCGCAAGGCAGAATTTTTCAGTTTCCTGAAGTTCATCCTTAAGCGTTTGTAAGAAGTAATTGGTTTTTCTGCATTTGAGCTGCATTCAAAGGACTTTTTAATGGTAGGATAGCACATTCCTATATACATTAATTGTGTAGTATGGATGACAGTTCGAAGGCTGCTTTTTACCTGCTTTGCATTTCATTCGAACACAGCCAGACATATTAAGGTCTGTTCACATTGCAGGAAAATATAGGTTAGACTACTTAAATTGATACTAAAGCTAAAAACGTCTTTTTACCTTAATGCATTGCTTGCATTATGGTAAAAAAACATTTTAATTTCCCTGTGCTCCCCCTTCCCTGTGTGAAGGGGAAGAGAGGGGAGAAGAGATCAGCGCCCTGCATGGCTGCATCTCTTCTCCCCTCATTTCCTCTGCACGCAGGGACTTGAACAGCAGCAGGAGCCATTGGCTCTTGCTGCTGTCAATCAAATGCAGTCAAGAGGAAGTGGGGGGGCAGGGCTAAGTCCCGCTGTGTGTGTCTATGGAGCGCAGCAGTGTTGATACTATGGAAAACGGCTTGCTATGGGGACACACAAAGATGAAGAGGATTGCCAGCAGGGCACCTGAGAAGAGGGAGCGGGGGCCTCTCTGTGCAATCCCACTGCACAGATGAGTATAACATGTTTGTCATTTTAATAAAAAAAAAATCTGCTTTTAGTAACACTTTAATCCGGCCATAGATGGTTTGAATCTCAGCAGGGACTGGCCAAGATTTGACCCATCTATGGGCAGGCTGATCAATCAGCATGTTGGATTTTTACATGAAATTATTTTCCCCATGCCTCCTCGTTGGGAGAACACAATAGTTCCTTGGGAGGGTTTCCCTTAACAGCACTGGCTGTGTTGATGGGGGAACCAAGCGTTTTTCTTTCCGTCAACCTATGGTTGCAGAAAAGAAAATTGCATCATCTATTGCCTGCCTTAGTTCCTGTACACAAAAAACATATGTTTGAGTAAAGTTGCAATCAAATGAAAAACACACCATTCATAAGAAATTTTATCTATATGAGCCCTTAGCTACTTAAGACTAATAATCCAATGAAATAGATGTTCAGGGTAGAATTGTAGCACCATAAAAAGTACATATTCTGTGTTTTCTTACACATGTTTTACTAATTTACAAACTCCAGTTCATGGCCTCCTTGCACAAGCAACCATTTAATGCCATGTCCATGGATGGCAAATTTATCACTTGATGTTTTCATTTACTGTATTCCTCTAGAGAAACATTAACTCAAACATATACAATGTGACCTTTGAATCTGAACCTTACTCATACTTCAAGGTTATATATACACTTTTAATTATTTTCTAGTTAAAAACATTTTTATATGTCGGGATCACAGCTCACATGTCCTAGTGGTGTATTTTTTTGTTTTAAGATTTTTTGGATCTGCCTTCAAAAAACAATCTGATTTGTGATTTAATTACTATCTCTTCCCATGTATACAAAAAAAAAAACTAATATAATCCAACACTTTGTATGAATTTTCATTTTATGGATTGCTATGTGGTGTGTCAAGTGTCCTTGGAGGACAAAGGATCCATTCTTGGACGGGGTGTGTGCAGCACCCAAGTCGTGACATTTTCTTGGCTAAACTCTACCTCATGTTCTGTACTGGGCTAAGTGTCCGTGTTCCTGAATAAAGGTGGGGCTGTCAGTGTGGTGTATGTTCCTGGAGACATAAAAAGATCCCTCCACAAAAAAAACAAGAGGCTGCATGACCCAAACAAAATTTTGAAATGGCCAGCAGGTTGAAACTTTCTGCGTATGAGGTACCCCTGAGATGTGATAATTGTTATGGTATTGTTGTGTAGAACAAATATCGGTAAGAAACCAATGGACATATTGGTGTGAAGTTCCTTTGATGTTCCCAACCTCAAAGTGTGATGAAATGGTGTGCTTGGACTGTTGGGGCCATTGTTGGTAATGCACTCCAAAAAGCACAATTGGAATGCATGTCAGAGCGGCACTTTGCATTACCAATCATTTCAAATAGCACTCCAACGGAACACACTGCAGCACATCTTTTGCAATGCACTGTACCACAAGGATATAAATGATTGTGGCATATAAAAAATTTGGCTTGCACCATTTTATGTGTGATGTGGCCATAACAAGTAAATGAGCTTCTTAATGCAGCGCTTGTTGATAACACACTTTCAACGCAGTTAGAGCAATACACCAGCACTTATACTAAGAGCCTTGCCTATTAACCTTCCCATTTGATACTACTCCCTCATACAGAACAATAGCACTGCTGCTATTATCCCATTGCTAACTGCATCTTTTGGAACAGCTTTTAGTAGATGTGAACAGCTATACAGTTATTCACGATAAACGCTTAGTGGCCCCCACTCAGGCCAACAAGATTTAATGAATTGGATGTCGCTGACTGGTGAGGGTGCAGGCGGGAAAGATTTGTCTACACCCAAAGCATGTTGTAGAAATAGGATGAGGAAGCCTGATCGCTGCACTCGGGCCGGGCAAGGTGTGTGGCTAATCTCTTCCTATTTCTACAGAGGTTATACAGTTACTCATGACCCATGATCACTTAGAAATAATTGCATAATACAAAAACTCTTTGCATTTCACCATGGGTCCCAGCAACTCATGTAGCAAGTCAAATTCCATAATATTTGTTGAAAAGGCAGCACTTGACAAGGGAAATCGCATTGTTTTCAATGCTGTCTGTTCACATCAATGCAGCTCAGCACAGAGCGATTTTGGTAGATTCCAGTGTGATTTTGTCATCAAAATTGCATCCAAGTTGCATCCAAGCTGCACTACATAACCGCACTGAAAGTCGAATCAAAATCGTATCACAGCAGTGTGAACCTAGCCTTAGTTGTGGAAGACATGGAAGAACATACTGCCTTTGCAACCTTTGCACAGGGGCTCCAAAGGATAGGCAACTCACATATATTAACAGTACCAGGCTCTATCAGGGCAAGGCATCTATGCCATGAGAGTGGAAGCAAACCAGTGTGCTGAAAAGTTTAGATATAAAGCATAAACTACTGCTGGTTAGGTCACAAAATTGAGACACAGTTGCCGGTAGTAATGTCACATGGATTTTGTGAATAGGTCAATGATTGGTGGAATATGGTTAAGAATGAAAGAATGGTTGGATCTGCAATTTGTTAAACCTTCCAGGCAAGTCCCAATGCATTCTTAAAGAAGAGGTGAACAATGTACAGGTGCCATCCTGCTAAAATGGAGAAGCTTTGCAAGAATATAAACAGATGTGTGTGGGGGGGAACAGTGAATAGCACTGAAGGAGGACTTAAGCTTTATGTCTGCACTGGGGCCCCCTACAGTCTGACTGCACCACTGATATACATGTAACCTTTTTTTCTGTTGCAGTCAAGAGATCAAGTTTCAGACATGAAGTTGAGGCCTTGGTGATCTTTCCTAATTGGCTAACTGATTTATTGGTTGAACAGACATCGTGAAAATATAATGCTTTTAAAAGTAAACTTAAAGCAGATCTTTATCCATTTCATTGACTTGACTGCTCTGCATCCCACCCACCCTCTTCTGCACTTATATAGGGTTCTTTTTTTTTTTTAGTTACCTTTTTTTTTTTTTATTACGTTTTACACTCCCTCTGTCAGGAATGGACTCAGCACTGGTGGTGGGACTCACCTGCCATGTGGGCTGCAGTACCAGGACTGACCAGCGGGTGCTCTCAGCAGCCAGAAGCTCACTCATGCAGTCAGCCAACACCTGGGGCTGATTGCAGGAGGTGTATTTAAGGAATGACCAGGCCTGTGATCAGGGCCTTGCTGTATGTTTCCCATGAGCCCCCTGTACGGTGTATCCTGTGTTCCTGTTCTGCTGACTATCTGATTTGTTGCCGACCCTGCCTGATCCTGACCTCTGCTGACTTCTCCTGCTTGATCCCTGGCTTGCCTGACCATCCTTCTGCCTGATCCTCTGTACCGCGCTGCCCATGAGTTACTGAACCCGGCTTGTGACCCTGACTATTCTCAGCCTGCTCCTCCGGTACCTCACTGCCCACACGTTGCTGACCTGGCCTGCCTGACTACGCCTGACGCTACCCAGGCGATCCATCCATCCCGCACGGATCCAGTCACTACTGTCCAAACCTGCCAGCCCTTTCACATCAGGCTTTTCCCCCGGTACATACGGACCCCTCTACCACAGTTGGGTGCGCTCAGGGGCCGCGACCTGGTCTCAGTCCTGCGCCAAGTCCATCCCCACCATCAGGGGCTCTGGTGAAAAGGCAGACTGGGGCTTAGACTCCGCGCCCTGGGGAATCCTGGTCTGTGGGTCACTAGAGATCCCGCTGGGCGGTGCCTGACAGTACCTTACGGCCCGCCTGACCATTCCACCTCTCCAGCCCTGACTACGCCTGTGTTCCTGAAGCCTGCTACTTCCCTGTGTCAGTCCACACATTTCTGGTCATACCCGGATCCCTAACACCCTCCATCCTTCATCATTCCCCTAGGCAAATGACGTCAGTGCCCCTGGCATCTTCTAGGATATGTGACGTTCATATCCCAGGAGGCACTGGGAGCCCCACGTGTCACTAGCAGTGTCATCGATAGCCTGAGCCAGAACCTGGAAGAGCTGGTTTAGCCTCCTTATGATGTCATGAAGGAACATGGCGGTGTGGGACCCAGCAGTGGCTGCAGAGAAGAGGATCTCAGCAGGACAAAGTTGGAACCTCTGTGTGGGTGAGTATGTAAACTGTGGCCATCTCAGCACCAGGTAAGGTGTGGAGTAGAAACAAAATGAATAGGGAGGATGGGGAAATTCCTCTTTAAACAATATTGCTTGTAAAGTTTGTCAAAATATATACATTAATGGGGATATTCTAAAACTGGAGCACGCAAAATCTGGTGTGCGGCTGTGCATAGTAACCAATCAGTTTCTAACTTCAGTTCTTCAATTAAGATTTGACAATAAAACCTAGAAGTTGATTGGTTACTATGCACAGCTGCACCAGGTTCTGTGCGCTCCAGTTTAGAAATTTCCATCTCTCAAAAGAGTGACATATACAGTAATTGGCTATGAGAAAAGCATGGACTCTGGAGATGGGACTTTTCAAAGTTTGTCCCTAAGCTTTGTTAGCAGTCATACTAAAATATAATCTCAGAGGAAAATGGAATCTTTTAAATAGATTTTAAAGATTTGTTGTAATTAAAGTTATCCTTGGAAATAGTACATTATATCTGCATGGTATTCTCCACTACTATGGATGAAGGCACAATAAAAAGTGCCAACCTGTTATTTTTCTTTTCTCCCCAATAACATAACAATAAGCACCTAGCTACCTGTCAAGGTCAATACCTCTGCTTCATCCCTTCCTCTAGTTTTTAAATTCTTAGTCTTACAATATCCCTTTGTACTACTGTATATTGATACTATATTGCTTGAAGTAGAGTTCTTATTACATCTTGTTGCCTTTGATCAGATAGATTTTTTTACATACCTGGTGTAGATAGCTTTCCATTGAGCGCAGTTTCTTCTTCATCTTCTGGTTCTACTTTCTTAAGAACTAGAGCAAAGAATGCAGCGAATCCAAGAACCTAAAACACACAAAATATAAGCTGTTAAATTCAGAGTGGATATATCTGCCATTTTTCTTTTGACCCAAAAGAAAAAAAAAAACTGTTGCTATCTTAAAGCCTTCAGAAAATTGTAGAATATTTATTAACCACTTGACCTCCGTAAGATTTTACCCCCTTCATGACCGGCCATTTTTTGCAAATTTTTATATAATGCTATGCAAATTACATTTATATATTTTTTTCACACAAATAGAGCTTTCTTTTGGGGGTGTTTGATCACCACTGGTTTTTTTACTTTTTGTGCTGTAAATTAAAAAAGACCGACAATTAAAAAGAGAAAAAAAATTAACTTTTTGCTATAAAACATATCTAATAAAAAAATTTAATTAAATTAAATTTATTCATAAATTTATTTCAAAATGTATTCGCCTCTCTGATAAAAAAAAAATCCAATAATTGTATACTAATTGGTTTGCATGAAAGTTATAGCATCTGCAAATGACGGTATATATACTAGAATTTTTTTTAATATTAGTTACAGCAGTGACTTATAGCAGGACTGTGAACATGCAGTGGGCAGTCTGACACTAACTGACACTTTCTGGGCACTGACTAACGGACACTGACATCACCAGTGACATGAATACAGTGATAAGTGCTAATAATATGCATTGTACTAATGACACTGGGCAGGAAGGGGTTAACATATTGAAAAAGGGTTAACTGTGTGCCTAGCAAGTGTTATTGTGTTACCTGCGTGTTGTTTTTACTAAGGAATGTGACGGTTTTTATTCCCTGCTTTGCAGGGAGACAAAAAATTGCCCCATCCCTGCTGTCAGTAGAGATCTGTGTTATTTACCAACACAGATCTCTCTCCTGTTTTCTGCTTCAATGATCGGTGGATCCCAGTCATGAATGATCAGCCAAGACCCGCTGATAGGCATCCAAGGAAGCCAGTGAGAGCACAGCGGGGTGGCGTGGGCTGCGCGCCCCCTACCTGGAGATAGATAGTCACATATATTTACATGATTCTGCGCAGCCATGCTGCACTGTACCAGTAAAACTACAGTGCGCAATCGGCAAGAGGGTTTTATTATGAGTTTCCAAAGAATGCATAATATATATTTGTTAGCAATGAATCTCTAACCACCAAGGAACCAATCTAATAGTTTTGGCAGCTGGAAGTAAATGGGAGAGATTTACTAAAACTGGTGTACACAGAATCTGGTGCAGCGCATGGTAAACAATCAGTTTCTAACTTCTGCTTCTTCAATCAACCTTTGACAATACTGTAAAACCTAGAAGCTGATTGGTTACTATGGACAGCTGCACCAGACTCTGCGTGCAACAGTTTTAATAAATCCTTCTCAATGTGTTACTTCTTATCACTACATTGACATTAGAGATGAGCGAATCGAACCAGGCAAACCGGAATTCGATACAAATTTCAGGAAAAATTCGATTCGCGTCGAATCCGAATATTTGCCTACTTCGGGTGCGCGAATCGGATTTTTCCCGATCAGCCGGCAAAAGTGTCCCTGCAGAGAGCTCCGCTATTTCTGACAGTTCTCTGACAGAAGGAACACATGTACAGCGGTTGAAACATTGTATCTATTTGTTTCCATTTAGGATACAGATGTTTTTATTCGGAAACAGATGTTTCAACTGCTGTACATGTGAAGGAGCTGTCAGAGAACTGTCAGAAATAGAGGAACTCTGCAGATACACTTTTTGCCGGTTTGGAATTCTTATTTTCATCCTACTTCTTCTTCTTCTTCTTCTTCATCCTCATCCTCAGAAGAAGAAGAAGAGGATGAGGATGAAGAAGAAGAAGAAGAAGAAGTAGGATGAAAATAAGAATAATTCCAAGCCGGCAAAAAGTGTATCTGCAGAGCTCCTCTAAGTGTATCTGCAGAATAGAGGAGCTCTGCAGATACACTTTTTGCCGGCTTGGAATTATTTCTTATTTTCATCCTACTTCTTCTTCTTCTTCTTCATCCTCATCCTCATCCTCTTCTTCTTCTTCTGAGGATGAGGATGAAGAAGAAGAAGAAGAAGAAGAAGTAGGATGAAAATAAGAATAATTCCAAGCCGGCAAAAAGTGTATCTGCAGAGCGCCTCTATTCTGCAGATACACTTAGAGGAGCTCTGCAGATACACTTTTTGCCGGCTTGGAATTAATCTTATTTTCATCCTACTTCTTCTTCTTCTTCTTCATCCTCATCCTCATCCTCAGAAGAAGAAGAAGAGGATGAGATGAAGAAGAAGAAGAAGAAGAAGAAGAAGAAGAAGTAGGATGAAAATAAGAATAATTCCAAGCCGGCAAAAAGTGTATCTGCAGAGCTCCGCTAAGTGTATCTGCAGAGCTCCGCTATTTCTGACAGTTCTGTGACATTCACTCCATACAGCGGTTGAAACATTGTATCTATTTGTTTCCATAAATGGATCCATTTATGGAAACAAATAGATACAATGTTTCAACCGCTGTATGGAGTGAATGTCACAGAACTGTCAGAAATAGCCTATTTCTGACAGTTCTGTGACATTCACTCCATACAGCGGTTTCAACCGCTGTATGGAGTGAATGTCACAGAACTGTCAGAAATAGCCTAAGAAATAGCGGAGCTCTGCAGATACACTTTTTGCCGGCTTGGAATTCTCCTTCTTCTCATCCTTCTTCTTCTTCTCATCCTTCTTCTTCTTCTCATCCTTCTCCTTCTTCTCATCCTTCTCCTTCTTCTCATCCTTCTTCTTCTTCTCATCCTTCTCCTTCTTCTCATCCTTCTTCTTCTCATCCTTCTTCTCATCCTTCTCCTTCTTCTCATCCTTCTTCTCATCCTTCTTCTCATCCTTCTCCTTCTTCTCATCCTTCTCCTTCTTCTCATCCTTCTCCTTCTTCTCATCCTTCTCCTTCTCCTTCTTCTCATCCTTCTCCTTCTCCTTCTTCTCATCCTTCTCTTCTTTCCTTCTTCATCCTTCTCCTTCTCCTTCTCCTTCTTCTCATCCTTCTCCTTCTTCTCATCCTTCTCCTTCTTCTCATCCTTCTCCTTCTCCTTCTTCTCATCCTTCTCCTTCTCCTTCTTCTCATCCTTCTCCTTCTCCTTCTTCTCATCCTTCTCCTTCTCCATCTTCTCATCCTTCTCCTTCTCCATCTTCTCATCCTTCTCCTTCTCCTTCTTCTCATCCTTCTCCTTCTCCTTCTTCTCATCCTTCTCCTTCTCCTTCTTCTCATCCTTCTCCTTCTTCTCATCCTTCTCCTTCTCCTTCTTCTCATCCTTCTCCTTCTTCTCATCCTTCTTCTCATCCTTCTCCTTCTTCTCATCCTTCTCCTTCTTCTCATTCTTCTTCTCATCCTTCTCCTTCTTCTCATCCTTCTTCTCATCCTTCTTCTCATCCTTCTCCTTCTTCTCATCCTTCTCCTTCTCCTTCTTCTCATCCTTCTCCTTCTTCTCATCCTTCTCCTTCTCCTTTTCTCATCCTTCTCCTTCTCCATCTTCTCATCCTTCTCCTTCTTCTCATCCTTCTCCTTCTCCTTCTCCTTCTCCTTCTTCTCATCCTTCTCTTTCTTCTCATCCTTCTCCTTCTCCTTCTTCTCATCCTTCTCCTTCTCCTTCTCCTTCTTCTCATCCTTCTTCTTCTCATCCTTCTCCTTCTCCTTCTTCTCATCCTTCTCCTTCTCCTTCTTCTCATCCTTCTCCTTCTCCTTCCTCATCTCCAAGGGCATTTAAATTAAAGGTACAGTGTTCTGCACTAATTTAAAGGCTCTCTGAAGCCTAGAAACCCTTTTTATAAGTTAACTTCGTAGCGAATAAATTCGCATTGAATCAAATTTCTTCCTGAAATTCGGCGAATCAGCCGAATCGAATTTTTGAATAATTCGCTCATCTCTAATTGACATCTTACTTTGACATGTCCACCAACATTCATGCCAACATTAATGGACTAATTGCACATAACATGCTTGCTTCTGTTAAAGGGCCCACACTTTAGTGACAGCAATGGTTATGACAACAAATCTAGAAAAAAGTAACATTGGTTCTCATATTGTAAATGCACACTGATCATCTGATAAAGTGGTCTTTACCAACCACTGCTTTGTCGTTAAAGTGGGTCTTTATGTGGTTGATCCGTTATCCTAAGTCATTACATTCCTGTTTGTGCCATCCCCTTTTAAGGTGTATGTCCAGGCATTACTCAAATGTCCCTCTTCCCCTTTGGATCATGTCTCAGTATTATTTTTTCTTTTACTTTGTTCCTTTATTGAGACATAACGTGATCACCAGGCTTGTAATATTTTTACAGGGGCAACTGCTGATTGTTCGGTTCCTGTAGCCCCCAGAACAGCATCTCCCAAGAGTCGCATTCCTATGTATAGTGTGTATGCAGACTCTCTCTGGCAGATCCACACATATTTTTCTGCATTTTAAAGGGAAAAAGCATAGGAAATTATGCATGGATTGCAGAAATGCTTTGCACAGAAATACATTTTCCAACATCTGCCCCCCCCCCCCCCCACATCCTTTTCCCAGCCCACTTTTACATGTCTTTGTTTAAAACCTAGCTGGCTAGATTTGTCAAAGCTTAATTAAACAAGCTGAAGTTAGCAGTTTTTTGGCTACCATACACAGCTGCTCCTAACTTTGCACTCTTCAGTTTTAGAAAATCAACCCCTGTGTGACTAGGGAGATTGTGCATCCCAGTAGTTAAAATTTAATTTCCTATTTTTAGGGATTCTAGATTATATACGATGTTTATATGTGTGTCAGTAACAATGCTTTTATTATTTATTTACCTATATATTTTATGTATAGATTTAAAGGAAACCAGTACTGAAAAATATTTAGCTTGCTATTGCCTAGCTAAACGCTTCTATTGCTGACCTCTTTTCTAAAACTGTCAGTTGCATCCCACCTTTAGTGAATTGGGGTCAATTCACTAAAGGTTGCCGCATCCGATAACACTGTCACCTTACTCATTTACATAAATTATCACATCTGGTAACAACATGTCCAATTTAACAATAAAAAAAACAATTCTGCAGTATTTAATGCAAAATTAAAAATGTTTGGTAAATACCACAAAAAACATGCAGTAAGCTGTTAAGTCCAATTCACAAACGGAACAAAAAGTTAAAAAAAGATGCGGTATTTATCACCAGGCTTTTGCTGGAGGTATCACATGCAGTATTTTTTCAGATGCAGCGAGGGGTCCCCCTCCAACCTCTAGGTGTCTGGTATGGATATTAATGGGAACCCAACACCAAAATATAAAGAAAAATGGCATGGGGTCACACGCCATTTTATTTTTCATTTTAGTGTGGGGTTCCCCCAAAATCCATAGCAGACCTAAGGACTGGTTTTTTTTTTACATTTTGATGAGGGTTTTTCCTTAAAATCCATACCAGACACAAAGAGCCTATGGATGGAGGGGGGGGGGGGGGGTCACACTGTTTTTTTTTTCATCATTTGCAATTGCTGTCATGTTTTGTTTTCATTCAGCTACAAAGACTAAAATACAGACACTTACCCGTCCCTTGGTCCAGCGGTGTCCTCACCACAGCTGGTTTCACCGGCCATCTTCTCTCCCTGGCGCAGCATCTTCAATGTGGGCACCCGGCTGTGACAGCTTGGGACTTCACAGCCGGGTGCCCACTGAGCATGCGTGAGAAGTGCTGTGCTTTGTGAATGGGCCCTGTGGTCTTCTGGGACCTTTCACTTGTCCCAGAAGACAGACAGGGAGGGGGGGGGGGGACAACTTCTGCTTCTGATTGCCTAGGTGATCGCAGAGGAAGTGGAAGTGGTAGCTGTCAAATTTGGGTACCCGCTCCCCAAAGGTGCCAATCTTTAATGGGAAGCGGGGGAAAAAGGCTTAAAGTGGAACTTCCCCTTTTTAGGTGGAGCTCCTCTTTAAGGATGCCGCGACTGGCTTCCTTAACAACCAGCTACAGTGCAATAAATTACCACATAAAAATGTGCAGTAATTACCGCAATAACAATATTTTACTGCATGAATTATTTACTGAAAATTTTTTAATGACTTGCACATTTGCAAAACATTTACCGCATGCGTTATTTTGCCGCATTTTTTTTAACTCTTAGTGAATTGACCCCATTGACATTAAATTTGCTTTGGCCTATCATGTAGCATATCCACAGTATTGAAGTAACAATGTAATAAAACACTATTGCTAACTTTAAAATGCTAGCTGCCTGATTGACTCTCCCTGTAATATCTTTTGAACCAATAGACCCAGTAAATTCAAATTTCCGGATCTGTATACCTGTTTACAGGGGTGGACTGACAACTAATGGGGCCCCCGGGCAATAGCGGATCATGGGGCCCCTGTGTACTTGCTCAAACTCAAAAAAGCCTATGAAAAAGGTACCAGGGGCATCTCATGGGGCCCCCTACTGACTCCGGGCCCTCGGGCAGTGCCCGAGTTTCCAAATGGTCAGTCCACCCCTGCCTGTTTAGGGTTAGTGACATAGACAGTATGAAAACCATTAGATCAACATGGCACACAGGCAACTGACAGTTTTAGAAAAGAGGTCAGCAATAGAAGCGTTTAGCTAGGCAATAGCAAGCTAAATATTTTTCAGTACTGGTTTCCTTTAAATTATACATAAAATATATAGGTAAATAAATAATAAAAGCATTGTTACTGACACACATATAAACATCGTATATAATCTAGAATCCCTAAAATAGGAAATTAAATTTTAATTCTAAAAATAAAACTTTTAATGGAAGTTTAGTACTAAATAAATAATGAGTAGATTTACTAAAACTGGAACACTCAGAATCTGGTGCAGCTGTGCATGGTAGCCAATCAGCTTCTAACTTCAGCTTGTTCAATTAACTCTATGCTGCGCTGCATCAGATTTTGCACGCTCCAGTTTTAGTAAATCTCCCCATATTTGTCTATGCAATTGAATTCAATGAATTATCACAGTACAGTTTAGACAGCTTCAGTTTGAAGTTTTTTTTCATCCAGGAATAGTACTAATAAATCCTATGGATTGCGCAAAGCTAAATAATAATATGCAGAAGGAAACTTTAGCGGCTGTGGGGCAGGGAATGCCTTCACCATTTATGATTGGCGGTCCACGATGACAGCTTCCTGGAATTTTGCCATTGCTCAGGGCGGTTGAGACTCATGTCCAAACACACCTGAGCTCATCCTTGTTCAGCAGTATCTACTCAAGCAAAAATACATGCACTGAACTAGTAGTAGGCAAAAGTATACTGTATGTAAAACATTGTAAACCAGTTCAAAATATGTAACCAAAACATATTTTAATCTGCCCATATTGGTACAAAGTATTCAAAATGTATCCAAGTAGCACAATCAGTGAAAATTAATAGCAAGCTGAAGCAAAAACATACCCTGATCCTTGCCCATAAGATTCAAAGTTGTCGTATGGTATATTTTTCCTAAAGAGGATTTATAGCCTGTTTGAAAAAAAAAGTCAGCAGCTACAAGTATTGTAGCTGCTGACTTTTAATAAAGGAACACTTACCTGTCCAGGGATCCAGCGCCGTCCTCACCTGGGCAAGTTCTTTGCCGATCTTAAGGTTTCTGGCACTGGAATTTTTTTATTTCGTCAAAAAATATTTTCCATCCTGCTCCTTTGAGTTTTTTTTGTCACTATATCAGAAGTTGGCTGTTCTACTGAAACAAACTTGCTGCTGGCATATGGAGGCAGGAAACAATCCCCTCAAGACTTACTGTTAATCCACATTGTCTGGTTATGATTGACTCAGTAATGTGATTATTAGCTTTATTCAATAAAGAGTTCTTATTTTTAAAAGCACAATTAAGGCAACCCATACTGCACTTAGGAAGAAACACATGGTTCGATTTTCACTTATTAAGCCTGTTCGAGAAAACCAGTAGATCCCCCTATCCATGGTAAAGAGCAGAGTAATATCTATTGCCAAACAGTGACTGTATTGGATAGGATGAAGTTACTGTTTGGCCAATAATTTCCTACTCTGCTCAGTTGACTTTTGGGTCCAATTTTGCTAAGCGAGATGGTGCTCGCATGACCACCCAAGGCTTGGATTTTGGTTGATTCATCAGGATTTGGCCAACAATCAAACTATCTATGGCCAGTCAAACTCATGAGGATGGCAGTTTAATCTTAACCAATTCAATACCGGGCAATTTTACACCTTCCTGCCCAGGCCAGTTTTCAGGTTTCAGCGCTCTCACACTTCGAATGACAATTGCGTGGTCATACAACATTGTACCCAAACTAAAATTTTATCATTTTCTTCACACAACTAGAGCTTTCTTTTGGTGGTATTTAATCACCGCTGGGGTTTTTTTATTTTTTGCTAAATTAACAAAAAAAGACCAAAATTTTGAAAAAAACACGTTTTTCTTTGTTTCTGTTATAAAAGTTTGCAAATAAATAATTGTTCTTCATAAATTTAGGCCAAGATGTATTCTGCTACATGTCTTTGGTGAAAATAACCCAAATTAGGATGTATTTTTTAGTTTGTAGGAAAGGTATAGAGTTCACAAACTGTGGTATAGATCTGAATATTGATCAATCCTGAAGTACTGACAGCCACTCTAATTTCTTGAGGTCTAAGAATGTCAGAACAGTACAGATATCCCCCAAATGACCCCTTTTTGCAAAGTAGACAGTCCGACATACTTCATAAGAGGCATGGCGAGTTTTTTGAAGTTGTATTTTTTTTTGTCATAATTTTTCGGAAAATTAAAAAAATTAAAAAATTAGTTTCACTATTTTTTTTTTACATACTGTCACCAGTGCAGTACAGAATCATCATATAACTGGCATGGCGGTGATCAGGGACACTGACTGGTGACAGTATAAAAAAAAAAAAATATATATATATATATATATATATATTTTTTTTTTTTTTTATTAATTTTTTTTTTTTTTATTTAGATTTTTTTTTCATATTTCACTATGACCAAAGTAGTACAATGTTACCATAGTAACATTGTACTACTTTGGGGAAGTGATCAGTATTTTTTTTTTTTTTTTTTACACAATTTGCTTATAGCAAAGAATTACTTTGCTATAAGCAAGCATTTACCTGAATGACATTGATTCATTCAGGGTTTTTTTTTTTTTTTTTTTTTCTGTGCTTAGCTGTGATTTGGCCATAGCTAATCACATGACATGTGCATGTGATCACTGTGACCATTCACAACTAGACACTAGTATACAATGGATGGCATGAATGCAGCCATCCATTGTATACAACTGTCATGTGACCTGCTGTGATTAGTCACAGCAGTTCACATGGTACCGGCAACGGAGACCGATACTCAGATCTGTCATTGGCTGTGTCCGAGGTACATGGCCGGTGACAGATTGCGCCACTGCACGGCTCTGCAGGAGCGCAATCTGCGCATATGCGGGAGGACGCCATATGGCATCCACCCAGAACGCTGATGACATTTGCCGGCCGCCATTGGGCCATAGGGCAGGCGGCAAATGGTTAAATAATCAAAAGGTTGATCATACAAACAAAAGTGCTCTTCAAGACAGATGTTGAGGGCAGCGCATTACTAACTTTAATGCACATGGATTGGTTGGGCCTTTTATTCTACCTTACAATCACTATATGGGAGATTCTATTTCAAGCTATTAATCTACCAAAGGAATTAATCTTACGCTAGACCAGCAAGGATAGTATTTTTTATAATACAATATCTTTTTCAATATTCCTGTTATAATTTTGGATATGCTTATTTTGTAAATTTTTTCCAACCTGCGAACAGTACTGTGGAAGTTTGGCACTATATAAATAATGAGTAACATTAAAATGGTTTCTATGGTTGAACTGGATGGACTTTAGTCTTTTTTCAGCCAGACTAACTATGTAACTATGTAAAATTAAAATATAGCAGAGAAATAGTTAGAGAAGTCAGATACATATCACAATACTCCAATCTTAAAGACCCCCTGGTTCTGAAGTACTATATCTTTTTGAAACTAACTTTTAAAGGTTGGGTAATAAAGAGGCTCTCGAAGAATGAGATTGCCATTGAGATCAACCACTTGATGGAGCTGTCCTTCCCATAATGCAGGCCATACAACATGGTGAAGAAGCCTGATACGCCACTGGTCGCTACCACCAGGAACCAACCGATGAATACAAACCACCAGGGCAGTCCCTTGGAGTTCTTCTTTTTATCTTCAGACAGACTGGCTGTGGATGAGCACCTACAAAATGATGATACAATGCAGGAAAAAGTCAGTAAGAAAAGTGTTTAGTAGAAGCCACCATTCTATTCTGTGTGTTTTCAGACTAGAAATTAGAAATTAATCTGTTCTGCCCCTGATTCTGATGGTCATGCACTTCTTGTAACCCGTATAGAAGAATTACAGAGGGCAACAAAAGCAAAATAGCACATATGGCCAGTGCAGTAAAACTGGCAAATGGCTCATCAAATCAGATATGGTACCTTTTATTGCTCCATGTCTTACTCATTTGGCTTCTGTTTACAATATAAGTAAAGGCAACACTTTTATTTTTATTGCTGTCTTTGCCCCCCTTAGGGAGATTTACGCTATATATTTTTCAGTTTTACCAATATTACAGAAAGTGAAAGAAAATCCCAAATTATGGGTTGCCCCCAGAAAAGGAATAGAGGAGAAATCTTCTAATTAGTTCTGATGACCCGGGTGACAACCAAGGATTCTCTTGTTTTGAAGGAATTTCCTCTCACTTCCTGCTTTGGCTGTGGCACAGGAAGTGAAGGAAAATCTCCCCAATGGGACACAGATGTGGGTTATCACCTTTACTTATGCTATCTAAAATGAAAACAAAAAGTTTTGGCTTTAGTTCTACTTAACTGAATAATCCATGTGGAATCTAGCCATTTCAATACAAGGAACAATTGCTATTCTGTTTTTTTTTTTCTTTTAACATGTGCTTCACAGAGGACATCCCAATACAGGACAAGGTTTAGTCCTTCTAGGCACAAGATACAACATAGCCTCTATTGCTAACAATTTTCATAATTTTTCATTTGGTAAAACTCTTGACTTTCCCTCCCCCCCCACCAACTATACATTTTATATTACTTACACACATGCCATACCTAACTACCTTATTTCACTGTAAATGAGACTTTGAGAATATGCCTTGTTTTGAATGTCTATTGCTGTTATGTTCATTTGTTTTTGATGATCGATTTTCAATTGTGGTTTTTTACTCTGCAAGCCCTATGATAACAACATTGACTCCTACTATTTTGTCATTTTAAATATATAACTGCACCTTTCATCTTGAGTTTTAAAATGACTGTACCATGCAACTCATCTTGCTTTGACAAAAAAAGAAACAAAAACTACTCGTACAGTGGGTGAGAAACTGTAGATTTGGCATCTCTGTCACAATGTAGCACAGGCAATTCCCTTTCCTCTAGCTTGTTTTCTCTCTTGCGTCCTCTTTTTAAAATCTTCCTGGATAACTTTAAAGCCCAACTCAAGGTCCACCCCCCCCCCCCCCCCCTGGATTTTTTGTCTTTTTTTACTTATTTTTTTTGTAGATGTCTTAAGGCTGTTCACGTGAGGTACAAGGTCCTCTTTTATATACCTCCTTTCTGGCACTGGGCAATCCTTAAATAATGCAGACGGTTGTTTTGACATCATCCTATCAGCATCACTCTCTTCATCCTTCCTCTGAGTGCAGGGTTTGGTTCATGATGCCCTGCAATCATTCAACCCTGAAGACTGGGGACTTCCAGTGTCAGAAAGTAATTGCTGTGAGGGACAGTGTCATAGAGGAGGTGAGTATTAGGCCCCTTTCACACGGGGCGGACCCATCAGTGGATCCTCTTGCCCAGTGGGGGATCTGCCCACTGATCCCCACTTAGCAAGTGGGTGACAGGTCTGTGTCTGCTCCACTTATTCAGAATAGACACAGCCTGCTGTCCTTTATGGGCTCTCTGATGGAAACGAACTGCCTGTCTGTTTCCATCTGACTATTGCCCGAATCAATCCAATCCAATCAGATCCAACAGACAGTTGGAGAACGGATCCCCACCCCTCTGTTTTTAGCAGACAGGATCAGATGCAGGTGGGTGTAAGCTGACACATGTCCATTTACATCCACTGCTCCATAGAGAGCAATGAAGCATCCAGTTGGGTCTGCTTGAAAAACAGACAAGCGGACCCAATCAGTCCACTCGTGTGAAAGGGGCCTTATAGCTGGAGATGTTTTGAAATTTGCGGGTGACTCTTTTTTGTTTTGAAAAAAATTGCCCAGATTTAGACCTTAACAGTTTTTTTTACAAATAAACTTGGAAGCATAAAAGGCTGATAGAAAAAAAAACAGACCAAGTGGTTCATGAAGTCCGCCTCCCTTTTTTTTTATCATGTAAACAGACCGGAGGAGCTTCATAAAAGTTAAGTATAGTCATCTCTTCTTGTACAGGGTAGATGGAATAGTCCTAGAATGAAGATGGAAGTAGATTTAGCCCTAGGTAGAATTTGACTGGAATTCCACTTTAATTTTGCTGTGGCATCCAGCTGCTTTGTTAGGCTTTTGAAGGGTGGTCAGGAGGGGGTGGCGGTAAAAAAACATGGCTGAGCCACCTGTTTTTACCACACCTGAGGCCTTCCCCTGCTGAAATTCTGTTCCAAGTAGTCATTACACTTTTGGTAAAGTATTACTCTTTAAAGTTACTCTTGAACTTTCTACTACTAGTCTGAGGCAGGGGCAGACTGACCATTTGGAAACTCAGGCACTGCCCGAGGGCCCAGGGTCAGTAGGGGGCTCCATGAGATGCCCCTGGTACCTTTTTCATAGGCTTTTTTGAGTTTGGGCAAGGACACAGGGGCCCCATGATCCCCTGTTGCCCGGGGGCCCCATGAGTTGTCAGTCTGCCCCTGGTCTGAGGACATGATCCCATGTGCTTTTTAAAGATTCAATCCATAAAGCTTTTCCATAAAGCTTGTTCAATATCTTATAAATCAACTGAAATAAATTACTGGCTTACTGTGACTTACATGTCACTAGCAGAACCAGATGCATAGAGCTGATTCTCCAAAATTTCCTTCATATTCTGGACTTGTGACACAGCTTGGATGTAACTTTGAGAGTTCTGGAATTGATGAGGTCCTAGAAGTTCCAGCCTCCTCTCCACATGCTGCAGTTGTAGATAGAGATAGCGGTTCTGTTCTCCTCGAGGCATCTTTTCACACAGTCCTTTCTCTGGAGTTGGACTTCGAATGTCTTCTGAAAATAAAATAAAAGAGTTTTATGACTGTGCTAAAATGCGCTTATTTCATTCAGTGGTGCATTTAAAGTGGATATTGTATCACTTTGCAAAGTACAGCTATTTAGTAGATTTCTACCCCCTATGTAAAATGCGTAGAAAAAAACAGCATTGGAGCGCACTTTATGTTGTCTTGTTAATTTAAGGACCACGGCTTACTGCGGATCCACCTGTAAAGATGAATGAAGGCACCAGAAGCCAGATGGGTAAAACAGAAATCAGAGTGTGATGTAAATCATGTTTTCTTTTTTCTTCTACTTTTTTTTTATTTTTTCCAAGCATTTGACATGGAGGGTTGGGGGGGACATTAAATGGTGTTCCACTGCATTCTGATGCAAGGTCTGCCTTAATGCGGTAAAGGACAGAATGAAATGTGCACACATTTGGCCTGCTTAAACCCTATTAAAATGTTGCCTCATGTAGTTAATCTACAAAACTATCGATTCCTAATCAAAAAGCAAATCTAGGTACATAGCCTTACATATTTATCACTGAATCTTGTGTTTTCCCAAGAATTCTGCTTCATAACCACCCTAAGAAAATACAGATCTTTACAACTACCTTCCATATGCTGCTCCTTTGTGGCACATAATTATTAAGATTCAGAACTTTATTAATCCTTCAAAAATTTAACTAGCCAAAAGATCTGACTGAATTTTAATGATCCTGAAGACCATATCCAAAGATCCAAGTAAGTTGCTCTGCTTCTGCTGCTGGTATATCTAGGCTTGTCTTTAGCCACTCTGGGAGATGCTTTGCTCTGCTGCTACCACTGTCAAAATTTAGTTTTTTTCTTTTTCAAAAATTTTTCAAAATTTGTAGAACTCATTTTGTAATATCCATTGTTAAACCTGTAATGCTTTATTTTTTTTGCATTGTGTCAAAAACACAGTTTCGGAAGCATTGTCATTTACTCCAAAGCTTCTAGTAAAACATGCCTTGTGTCTACAAAACATACAAAGCTAAATCTGTGTTCTGGTAAAAAAAGGAAATTTTTTAAACTTAATATAGCACAGAGGCATACATACAGGGGTCATAGGGGTCGCAATTGTGACCTGAACCCATGCTCTAGAAGGCTCGTGCAACCCTCTGTACATCTGGAAAGTAGGGGTGGCCTTTCAGTGGCTGCAGAAGGAAAATGGAGGAGATCGGTTCTTCTACATGCCACCCCTCCTATCCACCTCCTGTTGCCCTGGGCTCCTGTGTACGTCCCTGCTCCCCCCTCATCCCCACAGCCCTACCGGGTCACCCTCCCCTCCCACACTGCTGTGGGAGATGTGTCAGGATGGATAGCGTGGAAGGGGCTAGTTAGTAAATGTGTCATTTACTGGCCCCTTCTTTGTCTTAATGAATAGTCAGTGATCTGTACCTAAGCTAAATTGTGTTTACTATGCTTCAGTTTTTGAATGATTGGGAAGCTCTATAAAGAACTATTCCTGTCCATTCATTCTGTGCAGCTGAGGTGGCAGAGATGGAGACTGAGGGCTGTGTTCTCAATTTCCTTTCTCTGTCTCAAAGGTGGAACAGCAAAGGTTTGTTTAGACCCCTGATATTTCCCCAAAGCCCCCCATGGGGCTCCTAAAAAATTGTAAAAAATAATAAAAAGTCAAATTGTAAAAATAAATAAAAGAAAAATAATAAAACTACTGACACCAATGGCAAAACTAGCAGGGTTGCAAAGGTTACACTTGCGACCAGGCCCTGGCACTCCACCACTGTGGGGGGGCTCCAGCCAGGGTTCACAGGGCCCTTTATGGTTTCTTGCACTAGATTCTAGTTACACCTACGATTAAGCAGATTTTTCCCTTTTTTTTCACCTAAAACTAATCCCATAAAGACTTAAAATGGCAAATTTACTTCATATTTTTTAATGCCATGCAACAGGTCAGGCTGATAAAAAGATAATGTTTCAGCATTATGTACATGTGGAACATATAGGTTATGATGTATCATGCTGAAATATTCTCACGGTAATTCTAGTGTTATATTTTACACTAGTAACTCTAATGTTCAGATTAGTTAACACCTTCTCTCCTGCCTTCATTTTTTAGAATAGTTGACCAAGGAAACGAGAATGGATGAGCTGAAGGCAATACAATTGGTCCTTAATGTAGATTTTAATTTATACCTCTGGTCACAGCTTCATTCCCTAAATAACATTTAAAGCAAAATGCTATACTAATATATTTGTGTTGTTTACAAACATGGGTGATGATGGCTTACTTAACCTTAATACGTTAATTTCTGTAATTATATATTTCCCCATTAAACAGGCCTCCAAACTTTTGGGGGTGGATCTTATAAAGTAATTATAAACCAAATAAATGGTCCAGTACCATGGAGTTAATTTCAATTCAAGCTAGACTATAGCTTTAATGATCACAGATGCATACACAAGGACAGTATGATCATCATCCATATGCATATCCTTTGTACTTGGACATCCAGTCATACTTATATTTCCAGATCAAGGTCAGGCAAAATGGCAACATACCATGCAAGTCTACAGAGCCCAAACTGAGGTTCAGGGACCTCTCCTTCTTCTTACTGTCATCATAAAATTCCTGGCTGGCTCTGTTCTGTTTCAGAATGATGTCTTCAACCAGAGACAGAAGTCTATTGATATCAGCTGAAGTCCCAAAGTTCACTTCTGGTAATGGAGCCTTCTGGGCTTTAAACAATGAGTTGGCAATTCTCCTGATGTCCTATTTATAAATAGAGAAATAGAACTGACTGTAGTTAGACTACAGTTGTAAATTGACATTGTTACACCATATTCACTGAAAGTTTGAAAAGTAAAATGTAATCGTATTTCATCTCTCTTAACTCTTAGTTAACTATAATCAGCCCCAATAAACTCCTTCCTCACCTTCCCACCTCAGCTTTGCTGTTGATTTTTAGTTATATTTTAACCATTAATATTTAAACTTTTTTAATTTTAATTAGTTTTATTTGCAATTTTTTTTCAGTGCCGCATAGACAATGTGCAATGTAAAAAAAGGCTTTTTTTTCATTTGCAAAAAAAATGTGCCATGCTTTGCACCAGAAACTCATTTTAGTGTCAATAGAAATTATAATATAAATACAATTTTTTGTCTATAGATTGCCTAGAAAATTTTTTTTTTATCAGACCATATTGCCAAAAGTTTACCTTGTTTGTCCCAAAAAAAATGATGTACTGTGTGTATTACTTCATTATCTTACATTTTGACAAAATTATATAGGTCCACAGCGAAAAAGGAAAAATAGCTCTGGTCTATAAAACGTATAACCTTACAAGGCCTGAAATGGTTAAACAACACTTTTTGACATCCCAATACCTACCATAGCATCATAATATTGACTGTACCATCATAATAGCTATATGGCAGGAAAATATAATTAACTGTTAAAAAAAGTCCTTTAACACAATTATTTAATTACATCTCTTAGGAATACAGTAATGTTGAACATAAGTCTGTCTCGGAATATCTGTCACTTTGCAGATTGACTAATGGCAGATATGGGTCTGTAACCTTTTTATATTTGAACTTGTGCAATACAATTTTATTTAGGTATTTAAGTATTGCTCATACCTTTAAAACAGCCTCTGTAGTGAGAGCTTTGCTGGAGACAAGTGGTGAGGATGAAGACCCCATAGCAGTATCAGAAGTACAGTCTTTTTCTTTCTTTTCTGATTCCTTTGTCTGTTTAGGTCGTATGTTTCTGAAGATCTGAACAATTAGGAGGTTGATGGGGAACATCAGCAGGGAGCTCTCAAAACCGATCATGACCTCCTGCCAGGTGAACTCAATCTTACCTTTAATTATAGAATAGAACACCACAATGTAAGAGTGAATTACCAGTGGTTTGACCTCTACACAGACCCACTCTATCCAAGACTGTACACAGTTCTAAAAAATAAATGGTCATGTACGGAGTCTTTCAAAGGCTTTATGATGTCTGACAATAGTGCCTCTAAATTAATATCATGTTACCTTTTCTCTTTTGTTGTCTGTGCTTTATGCTTTGTTAGAGCGTGTTTTGGCAATCAAACGTCTTATCCTGATCCCAAGCTAACCTTTACAATCAATCATATACCAATAAAGGCTTGGTTCCCTTTATCCTAATCTGTTGTTTCCTATTATATTTCTCTTTGATTACCCAAGTCCATCTTCTGCTCAGCTGGGTCGGTAGGCACCCCCCAAAACATAATGCTGGTCAACATGGTACACAACAACAGGGAGAAGCAGCAGGACACTCTCTGCACCCTGGTGAAAGAGCTTCTGGGAGAGCGACTGAAGACAGAGTACCAGATATGGCCATCACGGAACCCTTTAGATGTTTTCATGAAAAACAGGTTGCTGTAACAAGACGAGAGAGAGCTATCATAGCACACATGTATCTGACATTAACAACATAATGAATGTTCAAATGAATAGAATGTGAATTCAGATTGGCTGTATATGATAATGCAGTATAATATATTAAGTGAAGTAATGCAGCTACCTGAATTGTTTCATATCCTCTTCTGTGGCCACGCTGAACATTTTATCCAGCACACAGTCCCCAACCTCAACAGAAAGCCAGGAGTTGCAGAGAAAATACCATTTTCGGTCCATTTCTAAGTCATGTACTAAGACTCTGTTCACATACCTGTAAAGGGAAAATCACTAGATGAGGCCAGGAACTGGTAGTTCTACACGGCATTTGTGAAATGGAAAGATGCAGCATTCTAAAACCGGTCTGAAGAAGGTGGACACTGATGTCACACCCTCCTAGTGTAGGATGCTAGGCAAATTTAGTCCTTGTCTCCTTCTGTAGTCAAGGAAGCATTGATTGGTTGTTCTGGTCTGTTCAGAGTTTCACAAACTAGGAGTTGAATGCTTCCCCTTACTTCCAAAATAAGCTTCCAGAAAATAGGGTGGGAGATTTAGATGACCAGCCTGTATATTTATCATGGTCTAGCCAATCTCTAGAAAGCAGTGCTCAGCAAGTGGCCGGGGAGGTGAAAAATAGTTGGAATCCCTAGAGAGATTGTTTCTTCTCCTCGGGAGTATTTCAAAGCAGCCCATGGACTGTGTAGCTGTTCTTGAGAGCTCAGTGGTGTCAGCGCTAAGGGCCTTGATGGATTTCCTGAGGAGCTAGCTATAGGACTTCACCACAAGGGACCTGGTCTTGAGAAGGATTATCTTCCTCACTGGACCATGTCTGGAGGAAGCTGGAAAGTGGCAGCTGTCCTGGGGACTTGTGAGTAAAGACCCTGAGTTGATTCCTGGTGACTGTGTGCTCTTGGGATATACAAAAGTAATAGCCAGAGGTAGCTGGGATTGAGACAGCTCCCATAGGGTCTCGGAGTACTAGTCATTCCCTTGTCCCTGTCCCCTGTACAGCACAGCCTCCTGGAAACCACTTTGGGTACCAATAGTTGTAATGCCAAATAGAACTGCCTTATGGTCTACAGCTGTGAGGCCTTGGACCACTCGTCCCCAATTAACTTCAAAGAGAGACTAGGAAGAAGATTGTCCTCTCATTGCTGTTGCTGATCATTCTTAGGAGTATCCTATTTTTCCAATCCCTCTCCCGTTCTTCAAGCAATACATTTTAATAAGCTGTTCCCTAGATTGAGTTATTGGAGCTGGAGTGTATGAACTGGTGCTTGTGGGCAGCCTCTGTACTATTAGGGAAGAACCAGCTATGAACCAGCAGCCTCTGCGGGGGTAGCGCTACACTGTGAATAAAGAAGTACTAGTAACTTTCAGCATCGCCAGGTATTTACAGTACTTTTATCGCAATGTCTTTAGAAGAAAAGAGTGCACATGGGAATCAGGTTTTAGAGGCTTTGCTGAGAAATGTAATCTTGGGTTTACTGATACTAGCCTGAGATTTAACTCTGCAGTCACTTTTGTAGCAGTTGTTTTCTTATTGTAGGTCACAATCCTGTGCAATGTCCTTTTGTCTCTTTTGGTCAGTTGACCATGTCCTCCATGCTTATGCTTATGAGACGTTTTCACGGAAACTCCATATATACCGCCATAACCTTTGATACTATACCTTGTAACACGGCAAATAAATTGGCAGCTTCAGTTACAGAAGCACCAGCTAAGCGGGCACCAACAATTTGCCCTCTTTGAAGCTCAGTAAGCTCTGATATGACTCCATGGATGTGAATTGTAATACCATACAATGATGGCTATGCAATGTGCCCTTTACATGTTTAGGCACTGCTGCCATGGCTGTCACTGCCCGCTATGTCCCCGCTGCCTATTGCTGTTTGGGATCTGTAGGCAGCTGTCAGGTGTCATCAGCCACACCCATACTAGTTCCTGAACCACAGTATTGGAAATGTGGGGAAACAAGCAGCAGGAAATTTGGAAATTGAGCATCGGCAACACCAGGTCCAGATGACAATATAAAAGTCTATATGGATCAGTCAAGAGTGTGAGGATCAGCTTTACATCGGGTGGTATGCCCTTCACTAACTGTATAGTCAAGAAAAACTTCTCCTGAATGAAAGCTGAGAAACCCTTAGGGGTTAACTTAGTAACATTGCAGTTATCCTTCACATGGTGACTGAAGGCTTTAGTTTGATTATAGTCAGTGGCACCATCTTATCCCCTTATCTTAGTCTGCAAGCTTTGCTGTATTGCTGCTTCAGCTTCATGCTCTGGAGTGGCTGACCTGAGTATCCAGAATCATTAACTGAGGATTAGTACTGAGGATGCGATTGAATTGAAATGTGGAGAGTTATTATTATTTTATCACTGTATTAGAGTCAAAATAAGTATACCATTGATAAGAAACACATCGGGACTCCAGTCAACTCACAAACAGCATAGCTTGCCTGTCTATGCATGTTTAAGTCAGGGGTCCTCAAACTATGGCTGGTGGGCCAGATACGGCTTGCCAAAGACATTTACCCGGCCCATTCTTGGTGGATGTGGTTTAAAATTGCTTTAATTTCTGCACAAATATTTAGCCTTTTAGAATCCCTGGGGCACCATTACCATTATTTTTGTATTCTGAAGTTTTTTTTTAACACAGTTGTGGGGTTATAGATCATGACTATTTTAAATGCAAAAACAGTGCTCAATAAAGTGTAGTTTCAATTAATTTGTGAATTTGTTGTATAAAAGTGCTAAAGTGCAACTGAAGTCACAAATATAAATGTACATCTAGAAAGACATTTTACAACTTTTATTTTCATAGTTTAGTTCCACTTTACTCTCATAACAGTTGCTCAGGGTGTCCACTCTGTAATCAGCTCTCAGTAACAGAACTGGTAACAGAACCCTGTTCCTCTGCAATATGAGTCTGTTCTATTGGTACTCAGCTTTGCCACCACAGGGCAAAAATCAGTAGCAAAAAATATATTTTAAGGATTTTTGAAGTATGAATCAATAACAGGGCAATATTAGACTATAAAGAGATAAAAAGGCGTGTGACTTTAATTGGAATTTATATAATGTATGCACAGGTGATCATTCCAAAATAAAATCTGTCTCAGAGAGAATAGCTATTACTGTATTGGTCTATAATGATGGCTAATCCAGTAAAACACTTTTCCTCATGTTTCCATCTAAGGTCTCATGCACACTGCTGCACCTAAATATGAGTCTAGGAGCTTAGGGTGTTTTTTTGCCAAAGCCCCTGAACTCAACTCAAAAAAAGTCTATATGTCCATGCACACATAGGCTTTTTCCAGAGTTTAGGAGCAGCAGAGTTTTGGGGCAGTTAATCGTTCCTTGAGAAGATCATTTTGGCCAAAAAACGCTAAATGCAGCAAAAACGCATGTAAACATGTCTAAAAGCTAGTCACGTTTAGTGCTTAGGTGTTTAATCATGTCATGGGAAAATACTCTGGCCAAACAAATGAAAAAACATGCACGCGCTAAAGGCGGTACCACGTTTGCATGCGTGTTTGCCGGATTTAGAGTTTTCCTGCTGCCAGGAGAGCTAAACATCTAGGGCAGTTCATTTGTACACGAGGCCTTAAAATGCCACCCTTACCATGAGGGCTTGGCTCCAGAGTTGTCATGCCAAAGTCGAATGCTCTGCACCTCCCCTAATGGAAACAGAGTTGTGAGCAGGAAGACATCAGACCCTCCACGTTCAAACACAGCTCCATCTGGATCATACAGGTGGTGAGGTTCACTTTCTCCATCAGTACCGTACAGTGTCATAGTTACCTGCAAGAAAAAATCTCCAATATTTTAAAGCAAACCTTAACTTAAACCATTCATTTTGTTTTGGGAACATTTATTCTCCATTCACACTTGTATGACTCCAAAGTTGAAGTGCAACTGTGACACAACTTTGGATGGGTGCAACGTGGGTGTGACTTGTCCCTCTGCAAAGCTGGACCCACTGTTGCATGTAAAAACATTCAGGTACAACTTTCATGCAACTTTTGAGGGTTAACATTGCAGTCTATCGGCCTCAAGTTGCATGACAGTCAGACCAAAGTAGTGCATGAAATACTCTGAAGTTGCTGCAATTTGTAACTTGTACATAAATGAATGGTTATCATTGGAAAACATGGGGTATGACTTGTCGCACAAGTGCAAATGGGGTCTTAGAGAATCTTACATGCAAAATTGAACTTACATTTGCCGACATGATTAAAAAAAATGCCCACTTATATCCTTCCCTCTCTGCTTGTGCTATTTATTATATTATTTTATTATTATTATTATTATTATTATACAGTATTTATAAAGCGCCAATAGTTCGCTCAGCGCTGTACATTACAAAGGGGGACAGAACATGTGACAGAACAATACCAATACAATGTGATACACAAGGGGTTCGAGGGCCCTGCTCTTTCGAGCTTACTTACAATCTAGGAGGGAGGGGATGGTGGCACAGGAGGAGATAGCTGTGGGGGATGGAGTGGTAGGAAGAGTGGAGGAGGTCGGCAAGTTAGCAGGGGGTGGGGTAGGCTTCCCTGAAGAGATGGGTTTTCAGGGTGCGCCTAAAGGAGAGGAGAGTAGGTGATAATCTGATGGGTTGGGGCAGGGAGTTCCAGAGGATGGGTGACACCCTGGAGAAGTCCTGGAGGCGGGCATGGGAGGAGGAGACCAGGGAACTAGAGAGAAGGAGGTCTTGTGAGGAGCGGAGTGTGCGTGCTGGGCGGTACTTGGATATTGGGTCAGTGATGTAGTTCGGGGCAGTATGGTGGACAGCTTTGTACGTCAGCGTTAGGATTTTGAATTTGATCCGTTGCGCAATCGGAAGCCAGTGGAGGGATTGGCAGAGGGGGGTGGCGGAGACAGAGCGGTTGGAAAGGTGAATGAGTCTGGCAGCCGTATTCAGGATGGACTGAAGCGGAGATAGATAGCCAGCGGCGAGGCAGGCCAGTGAGGAGGGAGTTGCAGTAGTCGAGTCGTGATATGATGAGAGAGTGGATGAGCTGTTTAGTGGTTTCTGGGGTTAGGAACGTGCGGATTTTGGCGATGTTGTGGAGGTGGAGTCTGCACGAGTTTGTTAAAGATTGGACTTGGGGCTGGAAGGATAGGTTGGAGTCCAGAATGACACCCAGTACTCTGGCCTGCAGGGCGGGTTTTTATGGTAGTGTTGTTGGATGTGACAGAGAAATCAATGGGGGGTGGTGTCCGGGCTGGGGGGAAGACAAGAAACTCGGTTTTGGAGAGGTTCAGTTTAATTATATCATGAAATACATATAGGGGTTTCCAAATATTTGAGATATAAGTCAGTATTCCACACAGTAGGACTGCACTTGGACATTTGTTTTTGGCTGCATGATCCATACCCTAGTGCCCAACATGTGACCTAGGGGCCAGGTGTGGTCCTCTGCAGACAGTAGTTATTGTTTTCCTTAGCTAGGAGCTTACTCAAGTTGGTGAAGGAAAAATATTCTTTAGACTAGTTTTGGGACACCTGCCTTTATACACATATGAACTTTAATGGCATCCCAGTCTTAGTCCGCAGGGTTTGATATTGAGTTGGCCCCGCCCTTTGTGGCTATAACACTTCAACTCTTCTGGGAAGGCTGTCCACCAGACTTGGGAATGTGTCTATGGGAATGTTTGACCATTCTTTAGAAGCACATTTGTGAGGTCAGGCACTGATGTCGGATGAGAAGGCCTGGCTCACAGCCTCTGCTCTAATTCATTCCAAAGGTGTTCTGTTCAGTTAAGGTCAGGACTCTGTGCAGGCCAGTCATGTTCCTCCACTCCAAACATGCTCATCCATGTTTTTATGGACCTTGCTTTGTGCACTGGTGTGCAGTCATGTTGGAAAAAGAAGGGGCCATCTCCAAACTGTTCCTACAAAGTCGGGAGCATGAAATTGTCCAAAATGTCTTGGTATGCTGACGCCTTAAGAGTTCCCTTCACTGGAACTAAGGGGCCAAGCCCAACCCCTGAAGAACAACTCCACATCATAATCTCCCTTCCACCAAACTTTACACGTGGCACAATGCTGTCAGGCAAGCACTGTTCTCCTGGCCACTGCCAAACCCAGACATTCGTCACTCCAGAGAACACATCTCCACTGCAGTCCAGTGGCAGCATGCTTTACACCACTACATCCGATGCTTTGCATTGCACTTGGTGCTGTAAGGCTTGGATGCAGCTGTTCGGCCAAGGAAACCCATTCCATAAAGCTCTCTATGTGCTCTCTGTTGTTGTGGTAATCTGAAGTCCACACAAAGTTTGGAGGTCTTGACTCTGCAGACAATTGGCAACTTCTGTGTACTGTGCTCTTTAGCATGCGCTGACCCCGCTCTGTCATTTTACAAGTTACTGTTGTTCCCAGTTGCTTCCACTTTGTTATAATACCACTAACCGTTTAATATTTAGTAGGAAGGAAATCCACACGGATGGACTTATTGCACAGGTGGCAACCTATCACGGTACCACACTTGAATTCACTGAGCTCCTGAGAGCGACCCATTCTTTCACAAATGTTTGTATTTACTTATTTTAGATACTTATATAGCGCTGTCATTGTACACAGCGCTTTTACATATATATATTGTACATTCACATCAGTCCCTAACCCTCAAGGAGCGTACAATCTAAGGTCCCTAACTCACATTCATACATACTAGGGACAATTTAGACAGGAGCCAATTCACCTATCAGCATGTTTTTGGAGTGTGGGAGGAAACCGGAGTACCCATGCAGGCACATGGAGAACATGCAAACGCCAGGCAGGTGGTGTCGTGGTTGGGATTTGTAGAAGCAGTCTGCATGCCTAGGTGCTTGATTTTATACACCTGTGGCCATGAAGGTGATCCAATGATTTGGAGAGGTGTCCCAATACTTTTGGCAATATATTTTATATTTATATATGGTTTGGTTTATTTTTTCATACTATCTTTTTTCTGTGCTGTCCCAGTCTGTGGCTCTCCCAAGTGTTAACATCACTTCCAATCATGCACAGTCCATGTTCTCCAGGGTGGCATTAGGATTTCTGGTTTTGTTTCCGGTGTCCTACACAGCTCCTGACAGCGGCATCTGCCTCCTGGCACACTTAGGCATGACACACTTAGGTTCAACAGCAAACTGCACTGTATGGATTATGCACCTTGTGTGTTGCCACTTGTGATTTTTAATAATCTTTTCCTATATACTGCACTTAGTTGGCACCCTCTGCTGTTTCCTTAGAGGCTGCATATCTGCAGTCTCTAATTATCTCCTGTTCCATGTCTGCCGTCTCTGACAGCTTTCTATTACATTACATTCTCTGATTATTATGTACTTCCCTTTGGGCATGTCAGAGCCTGAAATTGAGCCCACCCCCCATATCAAGAAATTTGACCACTACTAAGCTTTAAAATCTCTATTTTGGAAACCTAAAATGTGAAGTGGTGGATGGATTGAGTTTTTTGTAGATTTATTTTCCTCAGCACATACCCTGGAGGTCGTAGCTGCGCCTCGACGATGACCAGTAAAAACAGTGACTAGGTATCGATACTCGGCAAATGGATCATTATCTTCAAGAGCTATAACCTTCACCTAGGTAAAAACATATTAGGAACACAATAAGCCTTTCTAAAAACATTAGGTAACATCTACAGCCCAAACCTTTTTCCAGAGGACCAAACAACCAATAGATCGACCCAGCTCACCTTGGCATTATCCTGGATATCTTTTCTCCTGGCCCAAATCAGCACCAAAATATAAACAGCAGCAATGCAGCCAACAGTGGTGACCACCACAGGATTGTCCACAAAGGTTGCAAAGAGTTCAATTGTCCTGCTTACATCAACAACGTTGGGCATAACAATAAAAGAGCTGCCAAAAAATGTTAAGTGAGTGCAAAGACACTGGGTACTATGGGGTGTTGTTTTGGGTCCCACCTGGAAGAGAGAATTGGTGATGGGTTTTGGTAAATCAAAATTGAGAAATCAACCGACATGTGAATAAGGAAATACTAAAAGTGAGAATCTGAATGGTAGCTGCAGGTGACAACAATTGCTGGGACACATAAAATATGAACCAATACAAGTTTACCAAATGTTTAAGGGGTTAGGTTTATCTCACAATGCCTAAGCACCTGGGGCACTTGGGTGTCCTGCCAGGTAACCTAGGATTTAGTCCTGTGACCACCCCATCTCTGCAGTCATTCCACAGCCTAGTCAACCGATCAGTTCTAAGATATTAACTGCAAAGTATCTAACAAATGCCTACTGGAGTGGATTCTCTGGCAGACACCTAAAGGCAAATAGGCTGTTCACTTTGCAAGAGCATTTGCCCCAGAGCTTAGTGTAGGAGGTGAAGAGCTGCCGACTTCATCATCTAACAATGTGTAAGCAAAAATGCAGTTTTTTAAATTTTCCTTGCATGTGATTGGTTATTCTTTGCAAAGTGAAATGTCACCTCCTTCACTAAGCTCTGGAGCTAATTCCTTTGCAAAACACAACTTCCCTTGCAAAGTTACCAGCCTATTTGCCTTTAATAAATCATCTAATTTGTGTCCAAAAGACTGTTATTTAGTAACGTGGGTTGTCGATAAAAAAAAAATCTGTATCACATCCCAATTAAAGTGACTATTTACAAAACAAATAAATCAGGGAGTAGCATGAAATAAAACAGCATTGCCAGCTAATGCATTTCACACGCGCTTAGCACTTAATCATAGCTCATGAGCTAAGATTAAGCACTAAGTGAGAATGAGCGTGAAATGCGTTAGCTGGTGATGCTGTTCCCCCATATTTATGTCTTGGAATTGCTTTTATGAATATGTTGTAATAAGGGTGATTTCAACCAGATGTGCGGCCATCCAGACCTTTCTTGCCACTTGAATTATGTGACGGTCAGGGCCAGCACCTGGAAGTGTGTCACTGGAGGTGGAATAGAATTAGGAGACCGACCTTTGAAGATGCCTATAAACAATCTATAGTAATACAATTTTAAAACAAAGTTTATTAGGTTACAAGAATAAAATACTTCATAAAACAACCACATATTCATATGATCTAATTGCTAGAGATGAGCGAATTATTCAAAAATTCGATTCGGCTGATTCGCCGAATTTGCGGAATAAATTCGATTCGATGCGAATTTATTCGCTGCGAATTTAACTTATTAAAAGGGTTTCTAGGCTTCAGAGAGCCTTTATATTAGTGCAGAACACTGTACCTTTAATTTAAATGCCCTTGGAGTCTGCTGGGGAAGAGAAATAATACTGTCAGTCAGTATGACATGCAGATGAGTGCCGTCGATCTTAGAATCACCGCACACTTCACTCATTTGGGCAGTCACGGGGCCAAAACCAGAGTGTGGCGGTGGAGGCAGCAGCAATGGGAGGCCATACAGCACCCTATGACAAAATGGAACCCACCAGCAGTGTGAGGAGACCTGAAAGTGGCACATGGCAGAGTGTGGCGGTGGAGGCAGCAGCAGTGGGAGGCCATACAGCACCCTATGACAAAATGGAACCCACCAGCAGTGTGAGGAGACCTGAAAGTGGCACATGGCAGAGTGTGGCGATGGAGACAGCAGCAATGGGAGGCGGTACAGGGGCCCATAGCAGAGCAGAAGCAGCTTCAATTGAAGGCCATACAGAGGCCTAGGTTAAAAAGTCGAGGAGGAAGGAGGAAGGAGGAAGAGGAAGAAGAAGAAGAAGAAGTAGAAGAAGAAGTAGAAGAAGAAGAAGAAGTAGAAGAAGAAGTAGAAGAAGTAGAAGAAGAAGTAGAAGAAGAGGAGGAGGAGGAGGAGGAGGAGGAGAAGAATTCCAGTCCAGCAAAAAGTGTATCTGCAGAGAGCTCCGCTATTTCTGACAGTTCTCTGACAGTTCCTTCACATTTACAGCGGTTGAAACATTGTATCTATTTGTTTCCGAATAAAAACATCTGTATCCTAAATGGAAACAAATAGATACAATGTTTCAACCGCTGTAAATGTGAAGGAACTGTCAGAGAACTGTCAGAAATAGCGGAGCTCTCTGCAGGGACACTTTTTGCAGGCTGTAGAAGGGATGAAAATCGGCCGATCGTGGAAAATTCGATTCGTGCATCCGAAGTTTGCTAATTTTCGGATTCGGCGTGAATCGAATTTTTCCTAATATTCGAAACAAATTCCACTTCGCCAAGTTCGATTCGCTCATCTCTACTAATTGCCCTAACAGTCCCACATACAAAAAAATATAAATCGTTGTGGCCAATACCTTGGCACTGATTTTATGACTGAATACCAGATTGCATGCGTAAAACCTATTATTACAGAGAAAGGTTTGAACACTGATGCATATATCCTATCATATGAATTTATTATACACTTTGTAATACAGTATATAATAATATAATATACAGGCTACATTCTTTGTGATGTCGATGACCTTGGGTGAATGGAAAATCTGCAATTTAAGAGATGTAATTGGACCTTAGTTAATGGATAGACCAGCCTTTTCAACCAGGGTGCCTATGCACCCTGGGTTGCCCTGAGGTTTCTTCAAGGGTGCCTTGGCAAAATGCCTAAATCTGCCCAAAAATCCTGTACAAGCCAGAGGTGGATCAAGCCTGCCTTTTAGTTACATAAAGCCAAGGGTTTTCATTATGCACCATTACGACCTTCTAGCTGCCGGCATCCCAACAGCCAATGACATGATCAGTTGATATGGAGGATGTTGGTTGCCTGCACAGCATCCTTGTTTGACCCTCCCCCGCCTCTTTCCATCAGGGTAATATTAATAGTGATGGAGAAAAACTGAGGGAGAAGAGAAACATTGGAATTCTAGTTGGTACCAGTGTACAAAGGTGTATTTGATTTGGAAGAATAAATCACCTCTAATGTTGGGTGTCCTACATATGTGGATGTTGACGCATTATGGAAAACGATTAGAATAGTTTTGTACATTTTAGAATGGGGTTCCTCAGGACTGTCCATAATTTTAAAGGACTGAAAAAAGGTTGAGAAACACTGGAATAGACCTTGTTTGTAGTGAATGGATAGGTTGCATTCTCACTAAAAAAAATAATAGTCACTAGTGAATGGAGAGTTTGCACTTTCACAGATATTTCCATGGTCTACTGGTTTCTTCTAAAGCATCTTTATGAATATTTTATAGCTCAGTAGTTAGGTTACCCCCCCATTAGGTTCCTCTCTGGCAAGGAGACATTGGGTTATTGTTGTTCATTTGCAAATAGGCTGCTCTCTTTATAATCTTCCAGTGGTGTGCTAAATCTGTATCAGAAACTTTACTGAAAAGAAAAGCCATGTGAGCCCTAATGAGCAGCCTATATGTCTATGACTATGTAACTACACTATCTAGCACCCACATTTAACCACAACCACCATTTGTAATAGTGCAATGCTCATGTTGCATGTTTTTATTGTAATTAATTCCCATCCATGCTCCAAGACTTTTCAATGATTCAAGGGAACCAAAGCTTTCTAAGCTCCAAGATTTTTACAAATGCAATTTAGTGAGAATGCAGACTATCGGCGCACCAGAAGATGCTAATGTTACTGACCTTCACACAAGGCATGCTTTATTTTTAGTAATCTTTTACCATCAAAGATCACAATCCAATGCCAACCTGTGAGCCACATTTAGATGTAAGAAATGGCGTTGGTCTAGCTAAAATATGTAAGATAGCTGTAAAATAGCATTAATGCAAAAATATATAATGGAATGATAGACTTTGAATATCTTATTCATTGCTTCATGCATATTAAAAGGCATTAAGGGTGAGATTCTAAGACATGCAGAGGAACCTACAGAGGCTGCTGACAGCCAGATGTAGCTACTTAGCCCATGGCCAGAGACAGTGACATACATTATTTGTAGTATACTTACATGGCATCCAGTGTTGTTCCAGCTCTGGTTGATCTCATCCCAAAACACACACTGGGAGGTGAAACATGTGATTGACACAGATATGTAATTCCCATTAAATATGTCTTCTTTTACATCTGGTTTCAGGGTCAAGTAATATGCTCCTTCCCCGAAGAGCTCTTCTGGATTTATAACCCAGGAATAGACTTTTTCTTGGGAGAGAATCAATATTAACCATTAAAATATTTACTAAGACATACTGAACCTATTGCAATGTGTTGTGTATGTTTGTTTTTGTTTTTTTTTGTTTGCTATGTAGGGCCGGCCTTGGATTATATCATGCACTGTATAAAGTTTTAGTATGGTTTGCCCCAATGTTAACTTTAAATTCCTTGCAGTAACAATTGACACATTGCCACTTCTACAACAGCAAGACTATGTAACTAACTAAAGGTATGGGTGTATTTTAGACATATACTTACCTCCAGGGTATTTTCCATTGGGAAGATGGAAACTAATGTCATAGCTTGTTTCATTTGGGTGATACTCATACCCCAGGTACAGCGTCAGAGGTAAGTGTTGACTGGGTTCCACATGAATTACAAGAGGAAGACTGGCTGATGTCACATTTACCAGAACAGATGTTAAATTAGCCAGATAGAAAATGTTTTTTACATCGTTATCCGTGGAATCCCGGGGTAACATTATCTGA